GCTGGGGTTTGAGTGGGAGACTGATTTAACACATGCTATCTATGCAAGTCAGGAGTTCTGTATAATCATCGGTTTCTATGATTACCACGGTTTCCTTTAATTCGCGCAAGCAAATTATATTAAAACTGTACTATTATGTTAGTCCCGAAATAACATGGTTTTTTTTTATCGAGCGAACTAGCGCTTTTTGATATCATAAGGTCTGACATTGACTCAAGTGCGTGGCAAGGAGTAGGAGCTCTCTCTCTCTCTCTCTCTCTTAATTTATACAGGTGGTAATAAATACACACATGTGAAGTATATGATATACTAGGACTTGCAAACTGTAAATGTTTTTTTCTACATTGGTTGTTGTTATATACACGCATGTTTATAATTGGCACCTGTATTATGAAAAAGGCAGAAGAGTAGGACGTTAAAGCCCATTTCATTTTTATGAAAAAGGTATGTTCACTGCTTGTTATTATTCTACAATATTCTGCACATGAGTGTATATATTAACACCTTTACAATTTAACCTTCATGTAGATTTCACAGTCTTATTAACCCCCCATTAGTTCACGGTTACATAATGACCAGATAAAGGACAATTCTGGTGCAGTTAGCCATTATAAAATATGTGATAGAACTGGTTAACTACATCCCAAATATAATTTTAACACAGAGATCATTGCTACGGGAGATGTGTAACAAGCACGTGAAGAAACGGGAAGTGACGCCAAACATGACAAACATGAGTTATCCTTCTATATAACTGATTGAATTAACGAGCGATAACAGACACGCGATCGAATTTCATTTCACTGATAATTCAGTTGAAGATGAAAAGTTATTATATGAGACGGTGAGAGGATATCTGACAATTCAAAAATAAAATTGGCTGTCAGTAGTAAAAGATAACGAACAAATTAGGAAAAGTCCGTGCATTACCATGTTTTTATTGAACAGAATGAATAAAAACGGGGGAAAGCACGGGATTTTTCTATTTTTCTCGTTTTCCCTTATCTAGTGACAGCCAATTCTATTTTTGAATTGTGAGATACCCTCTCATCGTCCCATTTCACAACTTTTCAACTTCAACGGAATTATCAGTAAAATGAAATTCGATCGTTTGTCTGTAATCGCTCGTTAATTCAATCAGTTATATAGAAGGATAACTCGTGTTTGTCATGTTTGGCGTCACTTCCCGTTTCTTCACGTGCTTGTTACATATCTCTCGTAGCAATGATCTTTGTGTTAAAATTATATTTGAATGTATTTAACCAGCTATATCAGATATGTAATAATGACTGACACCAATATTGTCCTTTAATAATCAGAGCGTATCGATGAGCAATCACTGAATGAAACTTGTTAAAGATACGGTCCCGTGTACAAATTGTGTGCTTTGATGGTATATTTGGATAATAAAAAAACATATTCAAGCTATACTATATATTAAATTCCTCACAGAATATTCTAATTGGAAGTAAGCCATGTTTAACAGGGAATAAATGCTTATAAAACAACTAATAATGTAAACACATGTATTATAATCATAGAATATGATTAAAACCGGTCATAAGAGTTATAAAAACAGAATTTCCATTTATTTTAAATGAAATAAAATGGGGTTTAACGTCCAACTGTTCTGCACCGACTGGGCTAATGTAGACAGGCATACGCCACACAGTGTGATATGAGGGAAATTTTGCCCGGACAGCGCCGGCGCTACGTAGTACTCTTATATAGAATTTCAACTGCCAAGGATCTTTTACGTGCACTCCAATGTGTCCTATCCGAACGACTAGACAGCTGTCTTGTCATGGCCTCCGTCCTGCACCACTAACAAGAGAAAACCACACTCGAACCCACGACCTCCAGACTAGCGAGCCAGCGTCTAACCCACTTAGCCCTGGCGGCTCCCATATTTCATATTAGTTCAGTTACTTCTATCCAACCTTACTACACGATTATCCAACCGACCCCGCTTCTTCGGGTCAAGTAACCGTAAACACGGGTATTTTTGTTCTTGGCCTTATAATTGGAGAGTGTAACATCGTGCACGATAATGATAATACTTACTCTATGTTAATCGCTATGGTTATATCATACAAAACATACGCGGTCAGTCTACAATTAGCTTCGTTTGACAGCAGACACGACGCTAGTTGACCGATATTTTAATCTATAACTAATTTGGCGACTTCAGTCGAAAACACAAAGTATATTTTCGCGAATAATGAGAACTATTTATTCTGCTTCCATTTAACTGTAATTGAAACTGTTTATTTAGTCTTTGTGTGTATGGAAGATGTAGAACGCGTAGCAAAATACTGCACTAATTCTTCAATATGGCGGCCATTTATACATCTGTTTTGAAATTAGATAGCTCTCTGAGGAATTACGTGAGCGATGCATAATTCAAGGGCTAATTCTGCCCATTGCTTGTCTTTTTTTAGACCCAAAATGTTACATAAATTTCTAATTCGACATGACAAGACTATAATGAACTCTCTAGGTAATCGGGGCTCTTCATTTTCACCGAATTTAAAAATGATTGGCATTTAATGATTTAATTAAAATATAGATAATCGAGACTTTGTTTATTATCGTAACAACGGTAGCAATGACAATCGAGACTCGGTCATTCTCTACACAGTCGTAATTTAGCTCAGAATGAAGTAATTTTCAACATATCACCTCTTTATAATATTTTTAACTTTTAGGTGAGAACAGTTAAATATTACATAATGTATCTTTAATGGCTATGGTTATTTATATCTCTGGCTTTATACACTGTCTTACGTCATTTGTAATTTTTAAATGGTGGACATTCAGGACAGAGATCTAATCTCGAAGTAACTAGATCTCTATATGATTGTGTTAATGACTATGGTTATACATATTACTGGTTTTATACACCGTCTTACATCATTTGTAATTCATGTCCTAGGGGTGTGTAGGAGTCTTAATCTATGTACATCGTATTAGTAAGCCTGTACACTGATCGTTATATCTAACACAATATAGATTTTCTCTGGTCGGATAAGCAAACATTATTATTGCCTTTTGTTATTTATTGTTTTGAATAATATAACGGATTAACCACGGAGACATTGTAACAAGACGAAGTAAAGTATTCTATATCTATTTTAGGAGTGGGGACTGAATAGTTTAACGCCTGAGGGTTGGGTGGCCAAAGGGTTTAACACGTTGGGGTTGGGTGGCCGAAGGGTTGAACACCTGGGGGGTTGGGTGGCCAAAGGGTTTAACACGTTGGGGGTTGGGTGGCCAAATGGTTTAACACGTGCACTTTAGATACTATAAGATCTGTCAATGAGTCAAGTGGCGTGGTTTCTATTCTCTGCTTGTGCGTGATAAGTAGCAGGGTGGCCTTTCTAACTAACGATTGAAATAAACCATTTGTTTGTCCCGAATTGACCAAGGTTGTGTCGAATGGGCGTTACCAGCCCCCCCCCCCCTCTCTCTATCTCTCTCTAAAGACTGTACGTGTTTTTTGGGGTTTTTTTATTTTAATAAATAACAATATTGCTACTTATAAAAACGATTCAATAGGCTGGATGTAATTGTGCTCTAACCTTCTGCGCCAGTGAGACTGATGAAGATACCTACTCATCATCGCATTTCAACTGCCAAAGGATCTTTTGCCTGCACGCCAATGTCCCCACATGCCGTTCCTTCAGGGGTGGATCCAGGAATTTTTGCAGGAGGGGGTTTGCCAGGTTCCTGATCCCGCATGGTCTCTATCGTCATTTTGGCGTAAATACATACACATTTAGCTTTTTAAACAGGACAATTCAACACCTCGTTTGACGTCAATTTTTATTATGAATTAATACAATGACATTGTGATTCAATTTCATGGATGGAAAGCATTAATTGTGATATCACATAATGTCTATATCATTATCTCGCGCTTTGAGTGTCCATCCTGTTCCACATCTGACGATAAAAGATAAAGCACACGGGCCGAGAAACTTTTCTCACAAAAAGTGTTGATTTACAAAAACATTTATGTAGCTGAGCAGGGCGTGTACAGTAAAGAAACATTAACGGTTGGTATAAGAGTGGGCCGTAGTGCAGTCGGTGCAGAATGTGGGACCTTTAACTCCTTTTCATTTTATTTTTCCCGTATAGTCGTTCGGATGGGACGATTAAACCTCGAGGTCCCGTGTACATATTGGCGTGCACGTAAAAGATCCCTTGGCAGATGGAATTCGATTTATAGAGTAGGCCGTAGTGCCGCTGCAAAATTGGAAATACCCGTCATCATTAGTCCAGTCGGAGCAGACGTTAAACCCCATTTCATTTCATTTAATTTTATTCCCGTATAGTCGTTCGGATGGGACGATTAAACCTCGAGGTCCCGTGTACATATTGGCGTGCACGTAAAAGATCCCTTGGCAGATGGAATTCGATTTATAGAGTAGGCCGTAGTGCCGCTGCAAAATTTGGGAATACCCGTCATCATTAGTCCAGTCGGAGCAGACGTTAAACCCCATTTCATTTCATTTAATTTTATTTCAAGGTGTTACAAATTGGTTGGTTAAACATACCTTATGCAAGAGTTAAATCTGTCTATTGCAGGTCTTTCTTTAGACCTGAAATGTTATATAAACTATTAATTAGACATTTATAAACATAGCAAGACCATAATCGACTCTGGGCACCATCTGGTGGGTTCGATTTTCATTAGATTTGAACCCGATCTCCTGTTCAACGTCCATTGATGAATAACCGTAATGTGACTGAAATTTTCAGCATATTTCCTTTACATTATCTATTTTTTAACTATTATAGCGGGAACTGTCAGCTCATTATCGATCTAACATAATGCAACTTTAATGTACTGTATAAATTAAATATATGCGTACGTGTTTCAATGCATGGGAATTGTCACTTAGTAAAATAGCGTTTTGTTCATTTATATGGCGAGCATCCTGTTTAGGTTGTATAATATGACTGTACAGCCGGAGTGGTCTAACCACGTGGGCCTTGTAAATCAATAGACCATTTATCTGTGCAAGTGTTATTATTTCAATCTCGCGCTTGTACGTGATATGAAATAAAGTGACCCTTTTGAACTCGTGGGTTTCTATGGGACTATTCCCCTGAGAGCAAGCTAATTATTAAAATAGTGGACGTTCTGACAGCGGGGTATTTGACAGTGGACGTTATGACAGTATAGTGTATGACAGTGAGCTATATAACAGTGGATATTATGACAGTGGGTGTTATGCAAATGGACGACGCCATGACAGTCGGATGTATGAAAGTTGGTGTTATGACAACGGGCGCCATGCAAGTGGGCGCTATGGCAGTGGGACGTAAAACAGTGGACGTTATGATGTAAGAACGTTCCGACAGTGGTCGCTATGACAGTAGGGGGTGGGGTGGGGTAGGACAGCGGGCGTTATGACAGTGGGGTGAATGACAGTGGGTGTTATGAAAGTGGTCGCTATATAGGTCAGTTAGGTGTATCACAGTGGGCGTTACGGCAATTGGTTTTATCATGGACCGTATATACACGGCCCTTGGTGTTATGACAGCGGGCGTTATAACAGTGGACGCTAGAGCAGTTCGTTGTATGACAGTGGGCGTTAGACAGTGAACTTTATAACAGCGGGTATTACCACACTGCTCCTGGTAGGCGTTACGACAGATTATGTTATTGCATTGGGCGTTATAACCGCGGACGTTATGCTTGAGCATTATGATAGCTGACGTTATGCTTCTGGCATAATAACTTGTCTCGGTAATCTTATGTTCATATATTCTATAGTCTCGATCATTTTTTTAATTGTTTCTTGTCTATTTATATTCAGGATAAAATGTAAGAAGCACCTACATACCAAATCAAGATACCGTTAAAGAAGTCTGCTGATTCAAAATGACCGCCACACGCACCGTCAGATTCGCAGACGACATCGACGAAATCTGTGAAATTAACGAAATAATTGAAATCCAGCCGAAATTTAGCGGTAGAATAACAATGGCAGAAAATGGCTCGGTGTCTAATCGTCCGTCTGCGTTTGAAGAAATCGTCCAGTTCACGGAACCGTCAGAACCTTTAGACGAAAATGAAATAGACACATCTCCCCGCCTGAGTGAAAACACCAGCGTTAAGTTCGACTACAACGAGGAGCATTCGAATGGGTTTAAAATCAACTTTGGCAAAAAGTTCGGAACGAAAGGCAGTGGTTACGGCCAGCTTCAGGATGCAACGGATGTAGTGTCGCTGTCTCACGGAAATATTCTAGTCTCCGATATGGTGAATAGCAAGTTGCAGGTGTTTAACGAGAGAGGGTCTCCGACAGTGGCTTACGTCCTCGATGAGTTGATAGAACCTCGTGGTATTATTACCACTTCCGAGGGTTACATCGCCGCAACGTCACGTAAAATAAAAGCCGTAACGATACTTTCGCCGGACGGACGACTCGTCGGAACGTTTGGACAGAATATTTTAAGCGGACCGAGTGGAATCGATGTGGATTGTAGGGGGAATTTCATCATATCGGACATAGTTACCAACCGAGTGTCGGTGGTGGACAAAAATGGAAACTTCATACAGCACGTGGGTAAGAATCAAAGCTTTAATCAACCACGTTACGTCACGGTTTCCAAAAATGGGGAGATAATTGTGAGTGATTCTGGAAATAACTGCTTGAAGATATTCGATTCAAATGGACTGTTCATTCGACAGATTGGTAAGTTTGGAAAGAACGATGGATGTCTGAAAGTGCCTTATGCGACAAGTACGGATAGTTTCGGGAATATTCTTGTGTCGGATCATTACAATGACAGGGTGTCTGTGTTTTCGTCCACTGGGAGATTCCTACGCCATATTGTGACGTCTGCTCATGGAATTAGCCACCCGGCAGGACTGGCTTTATCATCAGATATGGTTCTGTATGTCACTCACGGTGGACTCAAAGCCAATCAAGTAGCTGCATTTGAGTTAAATTTTGATGGACTACCTTGCAATGTGGTGGCTTACGTTTGATGGTGTTTTTTGTCTTATAACGATTTAAAGAAATGAGATTTTTTACTTCCTTTATTGCATAACATCTCTTTCTCGTGGATTATTACCTCTTTTCAACAAACGCTACTTTCATTTTCCGAACCTGTGTAAAACTAAAATGGTGTGCTCGTTTGTCCGCAAGAAACGCCTGACGTAGTGTACGACTCGAAAATTACTCGTGGACATTACCCTTTTTCAACATCTACTTTCATTTTCCGAAACTGTGTAAAACTAAAATGGTGTGCTCCCAGGAACGTCTGACGGAATTACAAACAAGTGACATGGAATCGAATCATACCACAGTTCAACCATTCCTTATAACCGAAGAAGAATCGTGACTCGAACAATTTAGCGGATTCAGTTGTGATGGCAGAAATAGCTTTTTAGTTACCCCATGCGGAGTCCCCGGAAATCTTCGTTTCTTTTTACTTGATTGTCACATTGAGATCGAAAGAAATCAATTCCAGAATGTTCAAAGCAAATCCATATATTATAGCGATTCCTGGTCAACGAGTGTCTGATTTGTAATTTGGTAATCTAAGGCCCATTTCCCATGTACGCGTTTCCGCGTGTTACATTTACCACAGGAGTTTGACCTTCTATCCATGCGCATATCATCATACCCAACTAGACAATATTATAATATATATATAAAAAAAGAACTCATATCACAAAAAATGTATCGACATTTGATGATATACCGTTCTTTATGCTAAATTGTCATCTTTAGTTGAAAATTGTAGCGTTTTTGTTTCAAAAATGCCCCTCAAAATTCTATTTCCAAGCAAGTTTGGAAATTGTAACCATGGGACATAACTCGTGTATTGCACGAAATCTGCTTGCTTCGAAATTGCATTTTGAGGGGCATTTTTGAAACAAAAACGCTACAATTTTCAACTAAAGATGACAATTTAGCATAAAGAACGTTATTTTCAACTAAAAATGGCATTAAATGTTGAACGAGGAATTATTAACTTATAGAATCCAATCGATAATTTTATTGTTTACCCAAATTAAGGATTGACTGTCATTTTAAACTAAATCTAAATCTATGCCTTGTGATATTATATAAAAATATAAAACTTCATATATATTATTAATACAGTATTACTATTTATATCAAAATAATGTATACACATAATCATATCATTTCACCAATTATAACCTTTTTATATACATTTAATTAAACGGTTAATTTTTGTTGTCGTTCTAGTTGTTTTTCTAGCATAATATAAACGTCGATACAAGCGACGTGGTGGCTCAGTGCGTAAGACACCGGCCCGGGGTTTTCGGGTTTGCTCCCGATGTTACCTGAGAAAGTTCTTCGGACAGTCAGCAAAGACGATTTAGTCAGGACTACATACAAGTGAAACATTATTCGTTCATTGGAGAGATAGTTTTAAAAGGGAGACAACTACAATTAAGCGTGCCAATTGGAATTGGACCACCATTAATTTAATAGTACGAAAAAACAAAAGTCCAGTGTACACATTGGCGCGCACGTAAAATACATCTTTATTATTGGAATTTGAAATAAACGTCCACAGGCCGTCGCTGGTGCATGCCCGTCTCCATTAGACCAGTCGGTATAGAAAATTTGGACGTTAAACCCCATTGTATTTCTGTTGGAGAGAATAAGACGATTATAAAGTGTATTTATGTTGGTTCAGGATATGTAGGTCATAGCTTCAAGATGAAGACACGGGTGACTATTAAATGCACGCCGTCTCCTTATCCATAAAATCCTAATGTAGCAAAACATGACACCCCCATCTGCGTACATTGTCGTGTAAACGCAAATTGGTTTTATTACGAAAATTATTATCCGGTCCTAAATAACAAAGATTGCACTTTGAAGGTTAACCAGGAGACTGGGTTAAAACACCGGCGATCGTTCAACCAAATTAACTTTGTCGTACAAACCAATTAAAAAAAAAAACCCTGTTTTTTTACCTATCTTCGAGAAGGAATTTTAAAAAGCTGTGTGGCCGGGTCGGCTTAAATGCAGGGGCAAATTGACGAAATGCACCCATGCGTAACCAGCTCTAACCTTTAACCGACGGGGCCAAAATAGTTAACACTTGCCAGACATATAGAAAGTGTGAACGCACCACTATCCTGTCATAAAAGAACGAGGTAATCTGAATTGTGTTCATTCAATCTGATTAAACCAATGATCCTATTTCGTTTCGTTTATTATAGTTCAAAATTTCGTTTTACTTGTCTTTACTGTGGGCCATCGAAAGTATAAAAAAACGAAACGAAATATAGATCTGTATTTTAATCAGATTGGCGTTCATTTAAAAAAAAAATTAGTGTGAGGGTCATCTCTAAATTGGAAGAACCAAAAATTGTGGACGAAAGTGTCCAGATTAAAGCGAAACAAATGATGTTTTCATTTTATTAATACCCCGTTCACAAACGAAGATGTTTGTCGTGGCGGGCGACGCTGTGCCTAACTGTCATCGATCAGAAGCCGTCGTACATTAAAGGACAATATTGGTGTCAGTCATTATCACATATGTGAATGGGATAGACCTAATTAAACACAGAGATCATTGCTACGATAGCTGAGTAATACAGGTTTCCTGAATCGGAAGCGACGAACGCCAAAGGAAAACACGAGTCATCTCTCTATATAACTGACTGAAGTGACGAGTGATAACAGATACATGGGCGAATTTCTGCTCACTAACAATTCCTTCCAAGACCAAAAGTTGTTGTGTTTAACCATCTCTATCACATGTGATAATGACTGGCACCAATATTGTCCTTTAAGCATAGTTTTTGGGAATTGGATGGGATTTGAAGTCTAGTAGACACAATAACATTATTATTGTTAATTTCTATGGTTACGTGTGCATTGCAAGGTCTTTTGCGGTTAGATCTATTTGACAAGGCCAAGCGCACAATTTCCTCAAAGTTAGGAGATGTAAGACCTAGCCCCACACCTTACACTAACCCTAATCCACCATCCTCGGCAACAATCGCGTACCCTAACCCTGTTTCCATCTCGTGACCTTATGAAATACGCGCCCGGGCTTGTCAAATAGATCTAGCCCTTCTTTCACATGTGCAAGAGAATATGTACACCGGTAGATCTGGGCTCTTTGGCGGCATTCAGAGAAAATCTGGCTAGATAAGTGTCGAAGGGTCTCCTCCGCCCTTGGAGTTATTCGAAATGAAATGAAATGAAATGGAGTTTAACGTCCTACTGTTCTGCTTCTAACCTGGGCTAATGTAGACAGTGTGCTATGAGGGAAATTTTGCCCGGACAGCGGCACTACGGCCTACTCTTATATCGAATTCCAACTGCCAAGGGATCTTTTACGTGCACGCCAATGTGTACACGGGACCTCGGTTTTTCGTCCCATCCGAACGAGTTGACAGCTTTCCTTGTCAGTCCCTCCGTCCTGCATCACTGGCAAGGGAGAACCACGCCGGAAAATCTGGATGAACTTTCTCGGCCAATGTAGGGATCGAACACCCGACCTCCAGGCTAGCGAGCTAGCGTCTTACCCACTTAGCCACGTGATCCCCGGAGTTATTCGAACCCGGACTCTAGAATTGGTGGTAAATGGGTGTAGGTTACGAACTCGGACTCTAACATTGGGGATAAAAGGGAATGGGGTTCGATCCCGGAATCTAGCATTGGGAGTATCTGGGTGTAGGGTACGAACCCGGACTCTAGCATTTGGGGTAACTGGGTGTAGGGTAGGAAGCCCGACTCTAACAATGGGCATTTGGGGTAACTGGATGCAGGGTAAGTCGAACCCAGATCCTAGCATTGGAGGTGGCGGGGGGGGGGAGCTGTGTGCAGGGTAGTTACACTCTGCAAACGAATTTAACATCAGTCTTCATTAGCCCAGTTGGTGCAGAACAGTTGGACGCTAAACCTCATTTTAGTTCATTCCATTAACAGATTTTGTTATGTAATTAGTAACAAAGATTTATTAGTAGGCTAATATAATTTATTACACTTTTGCACTTTTGGGTATTTTGTATAAATCTCTGTTAAGGCATAAAACTACGCAATGAAATTACTACATCATAGCCCTGTTTTTATTTCCAAGTACTAAACTTTGGATTTGTGTTGACTCCCTCTTTCATCTTTGAAATTAAAAAATGTTTGCAAATTAATTTTAGCTTTTGGGTCTTGGCCTTTTGTACTTTTATCCGTTTTTCTGTGGTTCTTCTTCTTACGAGTCTTACCACTAGACGGCGGTGTTGTGTCTGGATTTCGTTTCTTCTCGTGAAGCACCTTATAAGGCAGTGCTTCCATATGTCTCGCGTCTAATATGACAGGCCCGTGGTCGTAAATAACGTTATCTTTCTTTTCACCATCACCCTTTGCTTCATCGTCACTAGGTTCACCAAATGCAGTGGCTTCCTCTTCTACACCGTCCTCGTCTAGAAACGAATCTTCGGTGAAGGAATGGTCAAACGACGTGTCCAGGTGTTTGTTTGGAATTCCTCTAGTTTTGATTTTCAACTTCTCCTCAGGTATGCACCCCTTTTTAGCTTTCTCCGCGCCAACATGGTCGTCCATGCGATACGTGCCAATATCAAAGTTTTCCTGCTGGAATGCGATCGAATATTCTGATCCGTCAGGCAGCGAATCTTGTAAATCAAGAGACGAATTGACCTGAATGCATTTCTCATTTTTACGGACATACCGGGAGGGATCTTTGGGAAAATATCTGGTGGATTTTCTGGATGGGGAAATGCAATAGACGGTTGGTTCCTCAACACCCGTATCCGTGGATTTATCAGCAAATGAACTGGGAACTTCACGAGGTGATTCTTCTTCGTTTTCTGATTCGGACTGTGAATTTGATAAGCTCCTTGCATGCTCCATCCTGGCAATGTTCCTATATTCGGTATGCTCGAGGGGTTTTCGTGAAGGTTCAGTATTCCCCCTTCTGACGGGACTCTCAGAGAGGTCAGTTTTACGATTTCTATATACGTAAGTCTTGTTTGACTGTGATGACCGTCTGGTCTTTGAAGAATCTGTGAGTGATAATCTGAAGGCTCTTGCGACTACGCGTCTCTCGATATCATCCTTAAAATATTCATTTTCTTTGAGATAAGTCACAAATTGCCGCTCCAGAGAGTCGCTAATCCACCTGTCGCCTGTGTGCATAAGATAGTGATTTACTAAACGAACCAAAATCGGCTTTTTGATGACTAATTCTGTCGATCTAAAAGCTTCGGTACTTTTTAGCCTAACAATTATCTCGCCTTGGTGCAGCACGGTGCTTAAGTCTATCGGAAGATTGGGAAGTTCGGGAAGTGATGGATTAGGCATCGATTTTCGTACAGGTAACTTTGAGTTCGTAGATAATTTAGCATTTGATTGTTTCAGGTTTAAGAGATGTCTATTATCTCTGTCAATGAGCAGTTCTATCTTCGTTTTCATCGGGATATCTGGACTCCCACTTCCCTTGATCTGGATATCTGTAGAATCAATCTCTTTGATTGGGCTATCCTGGTCACCTTTGCTTTTGATTGGTTTATCCTGATCGCCTTCGCCTTTGAACGGACCTGTTTTACTATTATCTTTTATTGTAGGGATATCAGGATTGTTTGGTTTGATTTTGTTATCTCCCCCTTTCCTTGTATCCATGGTATAGTCCGTAGTGAAGATATTGTAATCCACTTTCTTCTTGGGCGCCATTCTTAAAATATTAAATGGGACTTCTTCATCTCGATTATTATCGATCTCCTCTGGGGTATCTTTGATCTCCGATTTCGTATATGCATTTTCGTCGCCACTATCATCTTCCACAGAAAAACATGATTTTAATAATGAAGATTTATGATGAACCTTTAGTTTAATTCTATCTGAATTAGGCCTACTTTTTTCAGAAACTGGATTAGAACTGAGATCACGCTCATTATCACTTTTTGAGGCTTGTGAATTCACACTGCTGGAATTTAATAAAATTTCTTTTGGGGGTGAAGCGAGAGATTTCAAATTTGATTCGGGAGTTTTAACAATGCATGGCGGTTCAGATACATCGTTTGGCGAATCTAGTTTCACAATGTCCTTGCTTTTAGAATCTGCAGTACCTTCTGATTTTGACGGTGGATAATTAATTAGGCATAGATCTACTGTTTTTGACTTTTCCGTGTTTTCAGAATTAGTTAAACTCAAACGCTTTCTATTTACGCCATCTTTAAAATATCGAGAGGACCTTTTTGTTCTTCTTTTTGTATATAGTTTTTTTCGATTTTGGTGAACCTCCACGGGTCCGATTTTGATAGGCTCGTTTGTCTTTATCGCACTATCACCAAATATGGATTCGTTATAAGATGCTGACTCGGCTTTAGTCATACGTTTTGATATTGGCTCACTCCATGATGTATACAGGGGTTGTTTTTCATATGTTGATGCTAAATGTGGGCTACTGGGCTTTTGGACTTGGTCAAAATTTCGCATATCAAAAATGATTTTATTGTCATGTGTTATATCTACCTCCGTTTGGGTCTTTTCCAATTCTGTTTGTTCTTCCACAGTTTCTGTGATCTCCTTTTCTTCCTTGGTAACACGCCGGTCATCATTTTGATTCTGCTTTGAATTTAAAGTTTCTTCGTGATTGACATTAAGACTCTGTTGATTATCGGTAGATGAAGGTGCAGATATATTCGTTTCTGTTGACACTGGATTTGGTGGTGGTATAGTGACAATTTCCGTCTTCTCTCCCATAGACGAATCTTTTTTTATTTCTTCCTCTGACGAGGGGGCGTCAAGTCCCTCGTCGCTTTTTAGATTGAAATTTACATACGAGTCATCCAATGCAGATATTGTAAAACCACTCACAGTTGTGGCCCCTGATATAGTTGAAGATGTGTCGATGTCGTAAACCTGGTAAATTTCGGGGCCACTGCCCCCTCTCAAAATGCGTCGAACATAATTTCCGAAGCGATAAAAACAGTTCACAATGCCAAATAATATTTGTCGGATACCGCTTCTACTTTTACTGTCAGTGTCTAGTTCTGGGGATTCTTCTTCCTTCATACTTTGACTTCGTCCCATCATCTCTATTCAAGAGATTATTTTAAACAAAAAATAAACAAAGCCGCCATTACTTGACTAAACAACCTCTGTGTTTTGACGTGATTCATTGCCTGGCGACTTTACATACATTTCAATAGTTCTATATGACGTCATCCCATGTTTGACGTCATATTTATTTTATTTAGAGTCAACAGACTTGAGAAATTTTATGAGGGACACCTCATCATTTTTACGCATCGAATCGTTTGCAAACTGTCTCTCTTTTCACAACTAAATAAATAAATAATCTACTACGAATATAGAATTGCTGTATTATTTTTTTTATTTTATACAAAAATATGAGAAAGCATGTCTTCAATTAACTTATAGACATCAAACAACAGGGTTATTCGTTTTAAACGAAAATGGTAAACCCGAATTATTGGCCAATATTTAATGCTACATGTACCTATAGGCTAGACATCTTCGTCTGAATCAGAGATTACAATAATGTATTCCGTTCAGGGGGATTTCTTTAACACATGGGGGTGGTGTTGGATTGGGGGAGGGGGGGGGGGTAGTCTGTGAATATTTTTAATAATAATTCTTTTCGAATCTCATTTACAAAAATTCAAAGAAAAGAGAGATATTATTTTAAAATAAAAATGGGCAAAAGTGAAAAACATTAAGTGACAATGTAATTCGTTTCGATATTGCATGTTTTCCACGAATTAACTCAATTGTATATTTCAAGTACTATGTTAGTTTTTGTTTCTTTACAATAATAAGATGTATGTGATATTGTAGTATTGAATTAGTATTGGGTATATATAGTGGATAAATCGTCCTACCCATTTAATTCAATGCTGCATATGATATTGTGTTTTTCTATTTTGTGTATTCTAGTAGATGAAAATTTTCCCGGCGAAAATGTTATTTTGAAGTGGTATTTTATGAATTATTTAAAATACATAAGTAAAAAATACGAATCTTTTTTAAATGTAGACCCACTCTGCGGTCTGACAGCCAGTACTGTTGGTCTGTACTTTAGTTTGATTCTTTTTTTTTTATTTTTGTATGATGGAACCAGATCTCGTCTTTGTGTAGTTTTTTTTTTCTTCATGTAACACGGTTGCTATAGAAACGTTGGACGTTAAACCCCATTTCATCTCTGTTCTTATGAAAGCCTTCAAATGAAAATAAAAAAAAAATAAAAGAAATCAATCAATGAAAAGCTATGGCTGAAATATTTTTTACGAGATAATTTTCACACAATAACATATTTGTTGACTTTTGACTTTTGATCTATAATCGAAGCAGATCGGGTACAAGTCAATATTATCTCCCAGATTTTGGGCCAAGAGGTTGTTACGGTGATCAATCTCCCGAGCAGAGTTTTCTCTTTTCTTGTAGTTCTCGACAAGGCCCCTTTGACATGTACGCGAAAAAATCGGTCTAATGCAAATGTAATGGGTCCGTTTCTATGTAGGCGGGGGGTTGGATGGCTGAATGGTTAGCGTGCGCGCGCTGTGTCATAATGTCTGTCATTGAGTCGACTGGCGTGGTATCGAATCCCCGGTTGTATGTGACAAGGTGTAGGGTCGCCTGTCCAACCTCGTGGGTTTTCTCCGGGTCCTCCGGTTTCCTCCCACTGCTAGTCCCGAAATGACCTAGTTTGTGGCGAGTGGACGTTAAACCCCATTTCTCTCTCTCTCTTTCTATGTAGGCCTAACCAGCGATAACGAGACCGATACGCCACACAAACGCTTGACTTGTATGGGAGTATGTTAGACCTACATATTTATGCTACATCAAATTTGTGTATCTCAAATATTCCCTGGTCGACCTATACAAGCTTTGGAGCAAGACATTGCCTGCGATAAAAATTAGAGCAGAACAAAAGGTCAGGAATTAACACTGAAGTCAATTTGGGATGATTTGGTGGTCTGTTTCCGTCTAAACCGGGCGTTTTTTGTATAGTTATCCGCCCTTGGTTTTGCTTTTACTTCCGCCACATGTTTTATCTACTTTTACTTTTATGAACGTAAATAAGTTCTGAATAAGAATAGGCTAAGAAAATGAGCGAGTGTAAAAAGCCTGGTGAATTAATCGTCCATGCTGAACCGTATGCACATGTATTAGCTTATAAAGAAGTAGACAATCGATGTAGCTACTGTTTCAAGTCGTAAGTTTTAAAATTAAATTTGAAACATTGATGTAAGAATATTATAAAGGCAGTGGCTAAATTTTGCCTAATGGCTAAATACCACGCTCCAAAATACCACGCTCGTCCCTATTACGTCTATTATACAAATGTAACGTTTTATAAGAATAAAAGCCAAAGGTGGTGTAGATGAAATGAAATGGGGTTTAACGTCCTACTGTTCTGCTCCGAACTGGGCTAATGAAGACGGGCATATGCCATATATACATGTAGTGATGTACAGTGTGCTATGAGGGAAATTTTTGGCTGGACAGGCGAGACTGCGGCACTATATGGCCTACTCTTATTATATCAAATTCCAACTGTCGAGGGATCTTTTACATACACGCCAATGTGTACACGGGCCCTCGTTTTTTTTTTTGGGTCCCAACCAAACGACTATACAGCACCACAAACAATTAAAATGTTACACAAGACAAACTTATGGACAGGACACGATATAAAGATAGCACAAACAACAAATGCACATATCAGATCAAGCGTCATAAATGTCCATTAAATTGCATATCCGATCAAGAAGCTAATTTGTCGCAGTTTTGGAAATATTGAATGATATGTTTAGTGACTACTTTGATATTGAAAACATTTGGTGCCAGATCTTTTTCATATCTCTGCATCGCTCTGGAATTCCTTACCCCTAAAACTAAATTCTGCTAAAAAATTAACTTCATTAAAATCAAACCCCAGACCTATCTTTTCAGACGTTATCATGTGTGTCTTGTGTTATAGTAGTGTGCTTGGTGTGTGGTCAAAGCTTCGAGCATTTCCCTATTATGATGTGGATTTTAGTGCATTATAAAACTCATTATTATTATTATTACTATTATTATTATTATGTTTTTTAGTTGTACAACATTAAAGAAGTGTGCTGCATGTGGTCTGCTGAAATATTGTGATGTGAAATGTCAGGTAATTTTCTCAAGATGAACAATACACCATGCTCAAGCCAAGACATAAATTATTACACAACTTATAATACCATATATATAACAGTTGGGTGATAATTTGTGTCTGACAAAATCTGTGAAAGGTTCCTTATGTCCAGGCTTGGCCATGCTGTGTACAATGAGGGCTTTTTGCCCTGACAGTGCCTCTTATGGTTCTGAAATTGTTTGCTATGAGTGAATGTTTCAGTGCTTTATAAATGCTCCAATGTAAAAATTGTCCATTCTAGCCAGAAATATGTTTCCTTATGATCTTGATAAGAGATTTAAAGGAATGTTTACAGATCAGCTAACTTTTGAAATGCTGACAAATCAATCCTAGTGGTATAAATGGGACCTCGGTTTTCATCACGTATGAACAAATCAATACCTTTTTCTACGCTATTCGAAACTGATATTTTTATGTCAAATAATTTAGTGGAATTTTCGGAAAACATTGCTTTAAAAGATTAATTATACTTTCTAGGAATCTGTAAAATGCATTCCTTAAATCGACAATTTCAATTAAATCAAATATTCAAATAGCATTTATATATTTTTCAGAAATCTGATTGGTCGATTCACAAGACAGAATGTCCATGTTATAAACAGACTCTACCAAAAATACCAACAGATAGCGTTCGTCTGCTACTGCGAATTGTCATCCGGCATCTTGTAAGTACGCAGAATGATGCAAGGGAGACTAGTCATAAATATTATTATTCACAATCCTACAAGTTCACACACGAGAGACATATAGAGAGAGAAATCAGGTTCAACGTCCACTTGACACAAACTAGATCATTTCGGGACGAACTTATGGTTAATTTTATTTCAGTAATTCAATTGCGCTTAGGGGTCTTTAGCAGTGGGAGGAAACAGGAGGACCCAGAGAAAACCCACGAAAGCTGAACAGTCGACCCTACTCCTTGTCACGTACAAATGGAAACCCCTGCCACTTGACTCAATGACAAACCTTATGATCTAACTCGCACACATTTAACCATTTGACCAGCCAACCCCAGAGATACATAAATTATATGTGTATGTTTCAATAATATGTTTCAATAATTTATAAATAAACCTTGCAAGCAAGTTATTATTACTTAAATGTACAAATATCCTTTAAAGATTTTTTTATATACGATTTTTATTTTAGAGAGGTGATGATGAAAAGTTGGTGCCTGAAGATCCTGGTTGGAGATGTTTTTCCGAATTAGAATCACGTAAGATATTTAGTGTAAAGTGTTTCCCCAGAATGAAGATAGCCACGCCCCTTTGATGATAAATATAGCCAAGGCCCCCTTTTGACAACAAAGATAGCAATGCTGCCTTGTCAACAAAGTGACTATTCATTGTTCTCAGACAACTTAGGTATTTTCAGTCAAAGTTTATATATGCAGGATAGGGGCATAAATTTGTTCATATGCAGGCAATGTAAAGGAGGTGGGGACATAAATTTGTTCATATGTAAGCAATGTAAAGGGGTGGGGAACATATAACCATTGAAATGCTGGAAACAGTTTGTACGGCAGTTTTAAGTCACATTGGATAATATTTTTTATGGAGTGGGGAAAAATGTCATCTTATACCAAAGAAAACGTTTTAATTGGATTGTTTGACTGGATACTTTACAGATTGTCTGTGTGTGGTGTGAAGGGGGGGGGGGGGCGTCAAGTTGTATATGGTCAAGTTGTATATGGTCAAGTTGTATATGGTCAAGTTGTATAAGGTCTGTCATAGAGTCAGGGATGACATGGTTTTGATCCCACATTGACAAGTGGGAACCGCAACGGAAAATCCGAATGAACTTTCTCGGTCAACACGGGGATGGAACATGGAACCTCCATTTTAGCGTGACAACGTCTTACTGGATGTTAAACCCCATCTCTCTGTCCCTGTCAGATATTGTCTGACACTGAGTCCAGGCCTTTAGTCATATTTGATGACATTTTTATTGAGTGGCGGGCAAAAGAAATTATTTTAGTGTATGATATTTTACAGATTGTTTAGATATTCAGAGAGACAAGAAACGATCGGACATCTTTTCACAGATGATGTTTACGTTACAAGAATTAGTCGGTGATTTAATCAAACTGCCGTCTGCTTACCTTCTATTCTCAATGTTTGGAAAGGTTGGTTATTTCTGTGATCATTTCTATTGTATATAACTCGGGGCTCTCACTTTTGGGAGCCATGGTGGCTCAGTGCGTAAGACACAGGCTCACTAGTCTGGAGGTCTCAGGTTCGCTCCCAGTGTTGGTCAAGAAATTTCCTCCAGATTTTCCAGCATGGTTAGCCGGTGCTGGACAAAGATAGCATTCTAGTCCTTTGGATGGGATCCCAGTGTGCACGTAATAGAACCCTTGAATTCGATAGAAGAGTAGACCCTAGTGCTATTGACCGGGCAAAATTTCCCTCAGAACACTGTATGGCATATGCCTGTCTTTATTAGCCCAGTCGGAGCAAAACAATAGGACGCTAAACTCTGTTTCATTTCATAGTCAATGCAGGAGGACTGCACTACATGCAAACAAATCAGATTAAACAAACCTGCAGACAAGACAAAAACAAGAAATATCAAATCAAGTGAATGGATCCGGGGCGAGGGCCAGCTAAGCGTCAACAACATTGTACAGTCCCCGGGCCGGTAATTACAACAAAAAATAACAAGCGGAAATTAAACTAATGTGACAGCTCATTTTATTATATTGTTTTTTAGATGGTGATTAATACATTCAGTATATGTGATGATAGTTTACAATCAATTGGAAGTGGTCTTTATGTCAGGTATGGTCTAATCAATCAGTCAATAAAAATATATTCTTAGAGTTACGTCCCTTGTACAATGGAGGTCCTAGTTTAACGTCCTAGTTTCCTGCACCGACTGGGCCATAAAAGACGGACATACACCATGAAGTGTGTTATGAGAGAAACTGTATAGTGGCAGTACGATCTACTATTATTTCGGATTCCAACTGCCAAGGGTTCTTGTACGTGAACGGCAATGGGACCTCAGTTGTAAACGAAAAACCTAAAAACTGATAACATCTGATAATAACAGAAAATTTGCTAAGTATGTCAATAGACTATTGCCAACAAAACAATTAGCAACACATAGGAGTTTTAGCTGTACTTTTAGATATATAGTTCCAAAACCTTGAAAATATTTTAATAAACAATAGCTAGGCCTAAAAACAGAAGAAGAATTATGTATATTATAATTACAATCATATTGTATCTAAAAATGCAAATAAAATTATGGTATAAAATTTAAATGAAGAATTTTGCTGGAAAATGGTAGTATCCACTGTGAGCTTTGGGTGGTAGATGGCCAGGGTCCTTGAAACAGAATAAATATGACTGGGTTAGAGATGGCTCAGGTACCTGGAAACCGTGCTTAATACAAGTAAACAGGTTAATTAGAAATAAATCAAATAACCCTAGAAAAGTAAAACATTAAACCCTATTTCATGTTATTTAGAAATAACCATGAGTCCTGGAAATGGATTAAGTTTGTTAGAGATCTTTTATAATCCTTTTATACCAAAACAAACACAACCTCTGGAGGCTTAAACTCATTTTTTTTTTCAGCCCATCACAGATAGATCATAGTTGTCAACCAAATGCTGTTGCTATTTTTTCTGGTAAAACTGTTCAAATCAGAGCTGTAGCAGAAATCCCTGATGTGGCACCAGAAAAGGTTTGTAGTTTTGTCACTTCCATCCAACGTAAACATTTTTTTCAGAATTGCTGATGATATTGCATATATAGTTAACGTAAAGGGGGTTTGTGATTTAGATAAGTAGGCCAGGTCAGACCAGGCTGTATAAAGGGGCTGGTATTTAGATGGGTAGGTCATGTAAAGGAGTTGGGATTGAGATGTGTAGGTCATGTAAAGGGGCTGGGATCTAGATATGTAGGTAATGTAAAGAGGTTGGGATTTAGATAGGGTCATGTGTAGGTCGTGGAAAGGGGTTGGGATTTAGTTATGTTCATCTGTATGTTGAAGCAGAACAGTATGGCAATATCCCCACATCATTTCACTGAGATGTGTAGATAATTTCAGATTCCTTGTGTTTTTTACAGCTGTCTTTAAGTTACATCGATCAGTTGAGGCCATCTGCTGAGAGAATTGACGAACTAGAAGAACAATATTATTTTACATGTCAGTGCTCCCGTTGTCTTGATAAAAACATTGTAAGTCAAACTTTTATATTATTATCTCCCTTTTTCCCCCCATCATGCACTTCCCCCATCCATTGAATATTGATGCACCCACATTTAATTATTGGCGGATTATGCCATCACCCATGCCCGTCGGTCTGTTTGTCCCCAATTAACTTATTAATGCAATAGAGAATTGTTTCAAATTTGGTGTTAGTCATTGAGGTCATAAGAGGACGACCCCTTTCGTTCCTGAGTTATCCCCTCTTACCAAAAACCTTGAAAGAGGCTATAGTTTTTATACGCCCACATTTAAATGTGGTGTATATTGTCGTCGCCCCCGTCCGTTCGCCCGTCTGTCGGTCCGGCGTCCACAATTGCTTGTGGACGCTCTAGAGGCTAAAGTTAATATCCGATTGACTTTAAATTTATACACAGTGTTTAAGGTCTTGAGACGAAGAAGCCTATTGATTTTCAGCGATTTCCGATAAATACTGCCAGAGTTATGGCCCTTGATCACTTCAAAAAACCTTGTAGGCGCTCTAGAGGCCAAAGTATATATCCGATTGACTTTAAATTTATAATCAGATTTTAGTGCATTATAAATGTTTCATTACCGAAAATTAAAAATATGCGACAACTCTTGTTGACTGCCCGGACGATTTAGCTGCTGTGGGCGTATGTTTCGTTGCCTGGCAACCAATCTTTGACAATTTTTTTGAGAGTTGGTGTCAGGAAAGGACGAAACTTATCAAGAACTGGGACAGGACTGAATTCCGCGTCACTCGATTGCAATTCTGTCAATTCGGGACGTTCCGGACTGTGAATCGAGCATCCCTAGGTCGTCGTCACACGGTTCAAAGAGATCCGTAGGGTGACCAAACTTATAGGTTATTCAAGATCAATCGGCATGCGCAACGCATGTTTCCAACAGGTGCTAGGAATATTTTTACGACTGTGAATTCGGGGGAAAATTTGTGGATATTCTTGAGTATTTGTCACAACTGTCGTACAAGAGATTAAAATTATCAAAGTAATCAACAAAGACCCATGGTGGCGAGTTTTAATCTCACACATAATTGATTGGTGATTGCTTGTTAATCTTTTGTGGTTTTACGCCCATCAAGTTTTAATCTCACCGATAATTGATTGGTGAGTGTTTGCTTCACACCTACCGATTGAAGGCCGGATAATACAGTGTCGATTCAATGGAAGTCATATGACGGGACGGTTGATTGATTTCGTAATCCGGAACATTCAAAGGTCGAATTACCCAGAGATTTTTTGGCTGAAGTAATAAGGAAATAAATCGGGACATGAAAATGGTATCGGATTTCACAGAGTGCCGGAGTGATCAGAGGTCGGATGTGACCTGAAGAAATAACAAGATAAAATATGTATCATCTTTGTCATGTATTACGTATAACTGGATACTACTCTGCTACTGTGGTTCCACTGAGTTCAAGTCTCGATGCATCATTTTAGCACACTTTCAAACTACAATATTGTGAAAAATGAATCTCTAATAGGAATATCAGTCAAAAAATTTATCAATTCCGTAAAGATATGTGGAATTGAAATTTCATCGATCTATGTTGCTAGCAATCAATGCAATAAGGCCGTCACCATTTTATTGTCAGTGAAAATTTATTGAAAGGCTTTTTAAAATCTGATACTGAAAAATGCAAATGATGCATCATGACTTTAAAGGCTTAAAATGGATATAAAATGCTTATAAATAATTGTACAATATATGGAAGACAAAATGGAAGAATATAAAGGACCACTGACTTTATAGACATTATTATAAAACATAACTTAGATAACTATGGAAGACAAACATGGACAATATAAATGTCTTTATAGACATATAAAAACATAACTTAGATAAATATAGAAGACAAACATGGACAATATAAGTGTCATAATAGACATATTTTTAAAAAAATAACTTAGATGACTATGGACAATATAAGTGTCATTATAGACATATTATAAAAAACATAACTTAGATAACTATGGAAGACAAACATGGACAATATAAGTGTCATTATAGATATATTATATATTATTAAATAAATATGGAAGACAAACATGGACAATATAAAGGTCTTTATAGATGGATTATACAGAAATAACACCAATATATATGGAAGACAAGCAGGGACAAGATATACAAACAAAGCCCTTAGATGTGGTTTATAAAGAAATTTGATAATTAACAACTAACAATTATAACAAGTTTTTATCATCACTGTCTACTCGTATTTCGATACAGTTTAAGGTGTGGTGGATGGCCAAACGGTTAGCGTGTGCGCGTTGTATCATAAGATCTGTCATTGAGTCACTGAAGACAAAGTGGGACAATATAAACACTTGAGGAAATAACTTAATTATATGGGACAATATAATGAAACAAAGCTTCTATAAAGAACATGCAGGTTTTACAACAAATACACAAAGCAAATTAATGTGCAGACAATGTCTACCACAGTAGCAAAGATTTCTGCTTCTCAGATTCTGCTGCAACACTTTAAAAACAGTCACATGACCTGTTGTTTTTTGTCTGTGATATTACTTCGGTTGAAGTGAATGTTAAATAAAGCTATTTCACACACACACACCCACACACACACACACACCCTTTGTTATTTGCCAGTACAGTTTTGTACAGAATATGCCAACTGTCGAGGTTTCTTTTACGTGCCAAATAATACACGGGTGGATCTCATTCGAACACCCAGATGCTGTTTTCCTTGAGAGAGAGAGAGAGTGTAATGTCCACTCGAAACAGACTATGTCATTTTGGGACTAACATATGTTTTAAATTTATTTCAATAATTCGCTTGCGCGTAGGGGTCTTTAGCAGTGGGAGGAAAACGGAGGACCCGGATAAAACGCATGAGGCTGGACAGGCAACCCTACTCCTTGTCACATACAAACCGGGGATTCGAAACCACGCCAGTTGACTCAATGACAGGCCTTATGATACAGCGCGCACTTGCTAACCATTCGGCCATCCAACCCCCCCCCCTGCCAAGAGGGGTACCAGACTGGAATATACCGAGACCCTATATTGGCCAACACCATGATGGAAACTATGACCGCCTTTAGTGAGCCAGTGCCAGTGCCAGCTCCATGCCCACTGTGCCACCCCCCCACTTCCCACAAACCCCACTCCCCCCAAAAAAAACCCTCATCACAAATCCCACTTCCTGCGAAATGAATATATGTAATTTAGTTAAGTTTTTTAGGAGGGTTGGGTGATCTAGTGGTTTAATGCGTGTGTGTGAAACCATAAGGTCTGCCATTGAGTCAGGTGGCATGGTATCAATTCCCTGATTGTACGTGACAAGGAATAGAGGGTTGCCTGTCCAACCCCATGTGTTTTTTCCGGTTTCCTACTAGTGGTAAAGATCCCTATGTGCAAGCGAATTACAGAAATAAAAAATTGAACCATATGTTAGTCCCGAAATAACCTAGTTTGCGCTGAGTGAACGTTTGACCCAATTTCTCTCTCCCTCTTAAGTAAATGAAATGGGGCTTAATGTCCTACTGTTCTGCTCCAACTGGGCTAATGAAGACAGGTCTTATTCGAGTGTTCATGATGAAATGGCAAACACCCTGATTTCACTTATGTCAGGCATGGACACAGCCAATAGATTGGTTTTACTGAGGCACAAACCAGTTGGTCGTTGTAACCCGTGTGATTTATCTAAAACAATGCCCATATAACTGCCTTCTTTCGAAAACATCACAACACGATCATTCCCAGAATCCACCACTAAAATATTACCATACAAATCAATCGCTAGACCTTTAGGATAGCGTAGTTTCCCGGGACCCGTGCCGTAACTACCAAACTTGAAAAGAAAATGTCCATGTTTGGTGAAGACTTTAATGCTGTGATTGCTGGAGTCAGAAACCAGAATGCGATCACGTCTGTCGACAATCAGATTACCAGGATTATCAAAATAATTGTCTGAACATCCATGTCCACCGAACTGGTATCGCAATTCTCCATCTTGTTTTATGACACTCACGGTTTCAAAAACCATGTCTGTAAACAAGAAGTCACCATTTTGAGCTGATGTGATTCCGTAGGGTAATGTCATACAGCGTGGCATAAAGTCACGTAGTAATTCCCCCTTTATGTTGTAAATTTTTACACCTTTAGTTAGTTCATCCGTTATCGCAATTTCCTTTGAATTCAACAGAGTTACTCCCCTTGGTATCATATCACCTTGACCAATGATTTTCAGTGAATGACCATACTTGTCAAAGATTTGTATTCTTTTATTGCCGTTTTCTGCCACGATTATTTCGTCGTTATTAGTGAAACAGATATTGTAAGGCAGGCATAGTTGCTGTGAAGAATCTCCTTGACGACCAAATGTACATATAGGATGAACCGATACTGCATAACGCTGAACGAATCTCTTGTTTTTGTTCGTTCCTGATTGGTCGTGCATTGCTGCTCTTTCATCTGCCGTGTCGTTAATTCCTGATTCATCTGACAGCCTATGCGGTGTTTTTACAATAATGGGATTTAGATCCTCTAATATGTTCAGACTTTGAGATCTGCTAAGCAGTGTTTCTCCGTTTGCCATTGTTGTTGTATCAGACATGGAAACCAAGGCAAAATTAGAAATATGATTGGTGTCTTGTTCTAGGCTGATCTCTTCAAATTTGCCGAGCTGAAACAGACCACCAGGAACAAATCGTTTGAATGTTTGTAAAATTGGAGAATTTTCTAAAGTGGTTTCCGTTTCCAATGAATTGATTCGTTCTAAAAGTTGATCCTGGTGACCTGCGTCCAACTCAGCAGATGACAGAAGACAACTTAACTGGGATTGGAAGATTTCAAGTTGCGTCAGATCAGTTCGAAAGATATTTTTCAATTCGTCTACTTCAGTTCTTTTCTCAAGAAATGTTTCATCCAGTTCTTTTAAGTATTTCTTTTCATCTCCCAGAATTCTTTGCATCAACTTCCTGGCCTGTTTCTGGATCTGATATTTTGATTCAGCATATCGACCTTTCAGACGACCCTCGAAACAGGTCAAGTTGAACAAATCCTCGTGAATTTTCCAGATTTTATGATGCAGATTTTGAAATGTTGCGGCAATAAGTCGTTGATTGTTCTGTATCTGCACATCTCGACCTATGACACTATGATCTGTATGATCCTTGATTACACAGACAACGCAGAGGTCAAGGTCACATGTGTGACACATGAATCGCAGCTCCTCGTCCTGGTGGCTGTTACAGTATCGTGTGGTTTGATTGGCCGATTCCTCTCTATTAACATTCAGCAACATGTGAGATGATAAACATGATTTTGATCTGTGACTTCTTTCGCAGTCGAAACAAAAATGTTTCCGACATTCCGAACAAAATGAAACAGCGTTTTCATATTTATCTTCCAAACTACAAATGTCACAGAGAGATTTGTTGTTTTTCCCAACAACAGATTTCAGCACGTCCATAAATTTGATCAGTCGAAAATCTCGCGGGAATTTCTTGGAATGAGTATTGGGTGTCTTGGTTATGATTCTGCAAGACGGACAAGGGAAATAACTCTGTGAGCCTTGTGAGGAGATCTGGATGTGAGTATCAAGACATTTTTCACAGAAGGAATGAAAGCATGGTAAGATACGTGGTTGTTTTAGTTGACATAAACAAATTGGACATTGTAATAAATCTTGAATATTAGCAGCCATTGTTGTTCAGGTGTTTCACAAATTCCTGTGAAATTAGATATTTTATTCTATTGAATTTAAAATCTTTAAGACAAACACATTGTCTTTAGAGGTTTCACTAATTATGGCCTTGTATTGAATTTAAAATTCTTCTAAAATACATATTAAAACTTCATAGGTTTCACTAATTTCTAACCTTGTATTGAATTTAAAATTCTACAAAGAAACACATTGATGATATTGATATCGATATGATACTTTTCTTCTGTGTGTAATTTTGTCGTGCAGTTCTCTTGGACTATGTGTAATAAAAATTAGTTCACTGATTCAAGATGTATTTATTTTTCCAAATTCTCAAAAGATAGTCCAGATTCTCAAGCGATCATCCAAATTCTCAAAAGATTGTCCAACTTCTCAACAGTTTATCCAAATTCTCAATAGATCGTTTAAATTCTCAACTGATCATTCGAATTCTCAACAGATCATCTGTTTGTGTGTCGACAAAATTTCTTTTCACCAAAATTTAAATTATATTAATGATTTCCATTCACATTTTACAAGTACACCTTTTCAGTAAACGTTACAGGTACATCATCTTAGGAAACAGTTTTTGTTGTGAGATAAAATTTTCCTTGTTGAGACTTGTAGGTTTATAAAGTTTATTATTATTAAGATAGTGGGTTAAAGTCTGTACAGCAATCTAAAGATGGGGTTCGATTAAACACCAATCACCATAGATAAGATTTAAACATCAGTCTCTTCTTTAAAGATACATTATCTGCCTATTGTAGATCTTTCTTTTGACCTTAAATGTTACATAAATTATTAATTAGACATTTATTAATATATGACAAACCCATAATTAACTCTCTAGACCATTGGGGCATTGGATGGTTGTGATTTTGAATGGATTCACTAGTTTCCTTGATATTAGATTTTTTTTTTTATTCAATTTAAAATCCTTCAGACAAACACGTTAAAAGTTCAGATGTTTCACTAATTCTAGCCTTGGATTGAATTTAAAATCCATCGTACAAACAGTTAAAATTGAAGATGTTAATATATCGGTTTAAATGAATGCGTTTTCCATAAACTGTAACACATACTTATGGAAAACAGTTAATTTATTTGGTCGATGTTTCGAAGAGTATTCTCTCATTGTTATCAAGCTAATACAGATGAGTGTTATCTGTTATCATAAGATGAATTACACTAATTTAATCAACTATTGAATCTGTAATCAGAAGTGTAAAAGTCCACTAATATTAATATTTACCGTTATTTTATCCATCAAATATACACTTGAGACATTGATCAATCCAACTTGTTACAACAGGTTTCTTTCAATAAGTCTTCTCACTAAATCTTTTTTCACCAGACTATGATATTCATTTATCTTTTAAATGCAACCATCTTTCACAAAATCCTGCTCCAAACCATCGCTCTAGTTAAGTGAGAGATGTGGTGCATGAGGCATATTATGCTTACTTTTTCTAGAAAAGCTGATACCATTTCTTATTTGAGTATTTCACATAGCTAACAAACGTTATTGTATTGGTGTTTAAAGTTTTTTATATTTATCCTGTTTATCCGAGCAAATCTTCTAACATGCAGTCTTCGTTTATGAAATCCTGCTCTAAACCCTTGCTCAAGTAATAGTGACCAGTGTGATGCATGAGATAGGCTATGCTTACTCTTTCTCAACACCGGATACCACTTCTCGTTCGAGGCATCTACAAATTTTGAGCTTGAATAGTCCTTATACATGAAGTCAGACTGAATAACCAGATATGATATAAGTAGATTTGTTTAAAAGATTTCTAAGGTTATCTTGCCTTTCAAGAACATCTGATACCACTTTCCATGTTTAGCTTGAATAGTCCTAATAGAAGAAGTCATATATGTTATTGCAAACCAATGTGCAAGGGTGTTTAAAAGCTGTATCTGGCTGTGGAGGTTTTAAAATGGGAATATAAAATAGATTAAAGTGTTATATTCTATTATTGATCAATATATATACATATATATACATGGCTGCAGGTAACAGCTATATTGACTTCAGGTGATATACATGTTATTATCATACTCTACCTTATTGTTATAAATAAATACCATATTGTTACAGGCCCATCATTATTGCTGTTGAGCGGTAGATTGGATTCAAATCAAATGAAAATCGGAAGCATCAGATGGCATCGAGAGTTGATTATGGTCTTGTCATGTTAATAAATTTCTAATTGATAGTTTATATAACATTTCAGGCCTAAAGATAGACCTGCAATAGGCAGATTTAGCGCTTGCATAACACCCACCCCCTTTATAATATAAAAAAAATATATGATTTTCTTTGCAGTATCCCTCACATCAAAACCATGACTAAGTTTTCGATAATAAGCATTTTCTACTCTGGTTTAAGCAGAGTGATAAGTAATTTGATTGGTCAGGACTTTGGAGCACAATTCTTATTAAGCGAGAGTTGTGAAACTTGGTGTATACATGTAGTTTGCAGTTCATTGGACGCAATACAAAGCCAACGACCAACGTGCCTATAAAGCCAATTGACATTGGTTGGGCTGCCCTCTTGCCCCCCCCCCCTCCAGCTGGCTACGTGTCTGGTTTTATTGTCAGTGGTATTGGGCCAACTATAGTCGTTCGGATGAGATGGAAAAACGAGGTCATGTATGATGTATGCATAAAAGAATCCTCGACAGTTGTAATTTGATATAAGAGTAGGCATCCCTGTAGTGGCACCGTCTAGGCAGATATTGTAAAAAGATATTCTAGGAGATTGCGCTGTAGGTTATAGTGTGGTAGCATGTTTAGGTTAATAGCCCAGTGGTAGCGAGATTACGTCTGGTTACTAAGCTGCTGATTTAACACATGATTCAAGTTCCTAGATGTTTTGCGGTTCTTGCTAAAACTAGTAATATTATTAGAATTAGAATGACTACGGTAATCAATTGCCCCATGTATTCAATGTATTATATTATTGATAATTTTATATTTATAATAGATATTAGACTTATATAGATGTTGTAGCCACCTGTTGACTGGCACCAGATGTATTCAGAAATTTATATTGCTTTTTTGTGATTATTGGAGGTCAAATGGAATAGGGTTTAACAAAGACTGGTGTATATACACCATGCTGACCTGAGCCTATAACTCATCCAGGAAATAGAAAGAGAGACAGAGATAGGGTCTAACTATTGCAGGTCTTTCTTTGGGGATTAAATGTTATATACATTATTAATTAGACATTTATTAACATGACAAGACCATAATCAGCTCTCAATGCCATCGGAGGGCTCTTATTTTAAGAAGATTAGAACGGTTTGGTCATTTAATGATTTAATTTTAAATTGGAGAAGCGAGGCTAAGACTTGAATGACCAGTACGGTGGTTACGATCAATGCATACATCTTATCAAAACTACGGCCATTGATAACTCTGCTCAAAATAAAGTAATGTAAATGAAATTTTCAATATAGTATGGTGGATGTTGGAGACATGTCATCATACAGGGTGGGGTGCCGTGTTACTAGAGTATGGTGGATGTTGGAAACACATCATCATACAGGGTGGGGTGCTGGGTTACCAGAGTATGGTGGATGTTGGAGACATGTCATCATACAGGGTGGGGTGCTGGGTTACCAGATTATTCACAGTAGAAACTGGAACATCGGTTATTATGAAAAGGCAAAAGCAAAATTAACTGGGGGATTTTGGAGCATGACCCACCAGAATTTCTAGAAGGAGATTTGTTTTCTACCATTTTTGATGATAGTTACGTTAAACCAAAAATATATGTTGTAGAATGGGTGGGTGATGGACATTGGAGAAACATCAACATACATGTATCTTTGTAAATATTAAACTCTATAGCCTTAAAATAACTGAAGTCAGTTAATATGTTCTCTGTTGATGAGTGGTTGTTTTTTTATGCATGGGGCTGATTGTCCTTCTTGTAAACATTTGTAGATCATCAGGATAACTTTGTTATTTTAACCAAAGAAATATTTTGTTAATAACTATTTATTATACTAACATTTTAATTCTTAGTCCAAATACATTTTTGTGTACATCATACTGACAAAGTAGTATAGACACGTGAATTCACCTTGCTGTAACATAAAATCAAAAACATGAAATGACCGACAGTGAAAATTTTAAAGTGGGAGCCATGGTTTATACCATCCTCAGTATCCCCAGTGGTCTTATTCCGTTCCATTCCACTATACCCTGGGTTCTGAGGAAACTTTCCACTAGGATGCTAGTGAATAGTTTATACTATATAAACCTTTAGAATAGAATTAAACCTTTATATCTTCAGGATGAGGTGATGTACAGTGTAAAATGTCCACAAGAAAAATGTTCTGGTTATCTGGGAATAAAATCTGGTAAATATAAGGTTTTCAGTCTGCACAATTTATTCTCAATTTTACTTAATTTGGAGGGTTGGTTGACCAAATTACATAAAGTGTATGCTTTAGATAGGTATGTCATTGAGTCAAGTTGTGAGGTATCGATTCCCCGCTTGTATGTGACGAGTAGTAGGGTGGTCTATCCAACCTCTTGAGTTTTCTCTGGATCCTGTGATGTCTCTCACAGCTAAAGACCCCTATGTGCAAGTAAATTTTCTAAATAAAATTGAACCATGTTATCGTCCCGAAATGACCCAGTTTGTTTCTAGTGAACATTAATCCTCTCTTTCCACTGTCCTGACTGCCCCAAATCACATAGTTTGTGTTGAGTGGACTTTATCCCCATTTAATACCCTACTTGGGTTGTAATGATCTCAGAACATGTCTATTGCACAGTGAATGACACCCCTCTAAATGTGAAACAGGAAGTGTTTATCTCCTATATTGATCATATTTTCCAAAATTTCTCACTAAAGGACTCTAATTGAAAATGTCCATATATCTAATGGGGAAGTGTTTGTTGTTCTAGTGGTTTAACACTAGCATTATTAAGTCAAACGGCATTTTTTTGATCTTAAGCTTGCATGTGACCTGGCCCCAAGTTCACAAAGCATTCTTTGACTTAACTTCAGTCTGAGAATGCTTTGTGAACTCGGTGGCAAGGAGTAGGGTTGTCTTCCCAACCTAGTGTTTTTTCTCTGTGTTCTCACATTTTCCTCCCACTGTTAAAGAACCATAGGTACAGGTGAATTATTGCAATAAAGGTGTACCTATATTAGTCCCCAAAATGAAGGTTTGTGTCAAGTAGGTGTAAATCCTCTCTCTCTCTCTCTCTCTCTCTCTCTCCCCTGCCCCATTAAAATGTCTTTATAGCTCTATTATCTAATTGTTCTACTTTCGATTTGTTTTGTAGATGATACGTTCAAGTCATGTTCTAATTGTGGTGACATCAACACTGATCAACAGTATATCACCCAATCACTGAAAACAATAGAAATTGTTGATGAACGATTGACGAAACTTGAAGATATAAAGAAAAATGGAGGTAATTTATATTAAGAAGACTTGTGTGATCGCTTGGGTTACCTACTGCCTTATAACTTTCGTTATTAGTTTTCCAGAACCGTCTTCATTATCCCAGTAGGAGCAGAGAACAATAGGACGTTAAACCCCATTTCATTTCTTTAGTTTTCCAGAAATAAGTACAGTACAGCCGGTAACTGCTTGAAAACAGGAAAATCGTTCAAATGTGGATACAAGCATGGACCTTATAATACATGTATTATAAGGTCTATGATACAAGTATCAATATTGGCACAAATACGTCTTGAGAACTACTCTTTTGAAAAAGCCCATTAACCATTTGGAAATCCAAGATGGCAGCCATTTTCAAGATAGTCGACATTCAGGCAACTAATATACTTGATTGATCCTTTAACATATATTTTAAGTTTGATCTAAATCGGATGAAAGTTAAGGACTCAAGAGGGTCACCAAACTTTGTACAATTCATATTTTCTGTAAAAGGCAAGAATCATAACTCCAGAACGGAAGGTCCTATGTACACCAAAATAAAAAAAAAAACAACCAATATCTTTTGATCCTTAGCATAACAGAAAAATGTGGGTGTATAAAAATCCTCTCAATCGGTCCTGTAGGTAAAACTCTTTGAAAGAAAAGTTGAAAGTGACAGCCATCTTGAAATTATTTACACTTAGCTGCTTTACTATGGAAATCATGGTATAACATGTCACAATCCTAGGCTGGTACGTGACAAAAATTAGGGACGTCTTCCCACTGATAATTATTAATGACACCTACGTGCATGCAAATTATTAAATTATTTTATTTATTCAATTATTGTTATGTGACACTACATACTTTATTCAATTGTTATGTGAACACTACATAATTTATTTAGTTGTTATGTTAACATTATGTTATGTATTTATTCGATTCTTTTGTGAACACTACATAATTTATTCAGTTATGTTAACACTATGTTATTTATTTATTCGATTGTTATGTTAACACTCCATAATTTATTTATTCTATATTTTTCAGATTGGTCGGGAGTTTTGTCTATTTGTGAAGAATGTTTAAAATCTTTTCACATTCTGTCCGAGTTAAATGTTTATCGAACAAGACTTTTAGATTTAGCATTTGATTCCTGCATCAACTTAGAATTATGGCAGAAAGCCTTGAAATATGGTTTACAGACCCTGGAAGCCTACAGGTATTAGATTATGGCTGTTCAAAGCGATAAAAGACCAAGCTTCATCTTATATAATAAGTCTTGTAGAACCCTATACTACCAACATAAAACTCCATTCTCAGAAAAAACGTCTTCTAAAATCTCCGTTCTCTGAAAAAACATCTTCTAAAATCTCCAAGTATTAACATGGCTTTTCCTGTGCTGGAACTTTTCTGTGGAATATAGTTCCAAATTCAATGAAACAATTAACAATTTCAAAACCCTGATCTGTAAATAATTAGTGAATATAACAACCAGCAGCACCAACGTGCTTTACCACTTGCTACACATTTAAATTGTCTAGTAATTGATCGAAGATTTTTAAATTTTTTTTCAGATATCATTATCCAGTAAATACACCTAATTTATCACTACAGTTGATGAAAGTTGGCAAAATTCAGCTGTTTCTCGAGAAAACAGAAGATTCATTAAAAACTTTACAAGAGGTAAACTATCAGAATCTTATGAACAGGGCTGTCAGTAATTTTTCACAGTTGATTATAGCAGCACTGCTAATCAAAAAGTCTACCAAATTTAAAAAGTGATTAGCAGTTTTTCAGTTTCAACATAAAACACCTAAATAACAAGATATTGTATTACTTTAATTCATAACAAATGATTAGATTTCATTCTTACATCTTTTTTAGCACTGCTACAGGTAGCTGTGACAGTTTGTGAATGTGATGTAGACTTTCGGTTGGTCTTATGTCTGCAGCCAATTCTTGGCAGTGGTTTCCGAACCCCCACTCATTTTAATTGTTATTTCTTCATTACGTTAGAAATCTTTGTTAAAAAACAATTTCGTCTGTATTTTATCGTGTGTTAGGGTACTATTTTTGTTCAATCGGACACACACGGTAATTAACGAATAAACTTGATTAACTGGACACACACGATATAAACAATAATATTTTACGTGAATTCTTACTTTGATTTCTCATTTTACAATACATTTACATGCATTTATTTTTTTTATGTTTAATTTACAGTACGTGGGGGATACAATGGATTTAGTTTGGGTAGTTTGAGAAAAAAAATGTCACACAGAGAATTCAGTTTTGTTTATAGAATTTTATTAGACATTTTATACACCTTGAAAATGTTGAGAAAGCCTTCTAGTGAATCAAAAACATTATATTTTAAATTTTGATTAGCAACGGACAAAATACGTATCACAAATTGCGCTGTGATACTGGTTGTCGGCAGCCCCTTTTACGAACAAGTATGAACATACAATGAAACAGTAACTGAGCAGGGAACGAAAAAAACGAGGTCCCGAGTATACATCGGCGTGCACTTAAAAGATCCCATGGCATTTGGATTTCTATATAAGAGTAGGCCACTACAACTCGTGTAGAGGGGTTGGATGGCCGAATAGTTAGCATGTTGCATCATAAGGTCTGTCATTGAGTCAACTGGCATGGTTTCGATTCCCCAGTTGATATTTAGTTTCAATGACGTGTGCAAGCTAACGATTACATACAGTATTTTGTTTATTTCAGGCTGAGACAGGCTTACAGATCAGTCATGGTGTAGAACATAGTTTGTATCAGGCATTATTACAACTTATAGCACAGGGGACAGAAGAATTACGACATAAAATACGAGAACAATCCTGATTCTAATAAAACTTGTTATTAAATATGTTCACTTTTATTACAACCGTGTTGTGTTAATTTGTGATTGGAGGATGGGGCGAATGGTTTAACACATGTGGGTTAGATCATAGGTCTGTCATCGAGTCAAGTGTTGTGGTTTTGATTCCCAACTTCTACATGACAAGGAGAAGGGTAACCTGTCCAGCCTCTTGGTTTTTCGCGCTGGATCCCCCCACTTCTAAAATTGAACGATGTTAGTCCGAAACTTACCTACTTTGTGTTGATTGAACGTTACACCCCATTTCTCATTTGTGATGGAAGCCACAGTGTCTTGGTGAGTAAAGAGGTCACAGTTTCTATCCTGGTGTTATGTTGGCTGAGAAAGTACCAAGGGATTTTCCGGCCTGGTTTCCACCTTGTTAATGGTGCAGGACTGAGTGATGTCCCCTTGTTAGTGGTGCAGCGCTGACTGATGTCCCCTTGTTTAGTGGCTCACTGCGTATGGTTCTATCCTAGTGGGGAGCAAAACATTTCTACCCAACACTAATAGGTGGCACTGCCATGATTATATCGTCTGTTGCAATCTGATTAAAATACAGATCTATATTTCATTTCGTTTTTATACGTCCACATTCATAATGTGAACGTATTATGCCGTCGCCCCTGTCTGTGTGTGTGTGTGTGTGTATGTATGTATGTGTGTGTGTGTGTGTGTGTGTGTGTGTGTGTGTGTGTGTGTGTGTGTGTGTCTGTGGTTCGCCTACAGGGCGCAATTCTTCATGGATTTTCTTCAAACTTGGTATACTTATTCCTTATACCCCAAGGAAGATCCCTATTGTTTTTGGTGCATGCCCGACCCCCCGGGGCAGAGCCACGCCCATTTCTAGTATTTGTTTGTTTGTCGTCTACAGGCCACATTTCTTAACTAATAATCTTGAAACTTTGCATACACATTCTTTGTACCCTAAGGAACATCCCTATCGTTTGGGGTGCATGCCCAACCCCCAGGGGCAGAGCCACGCCCATTTTCTTTTCGTGTGTCTTTGTGTCGCCTACAGGGCGCAATTCTTACTGGATTTTCTTCAAACTTGGTATACTTATTCCTTATACCCCAAGGAAGATCCCTATTGTTTTTGGTGCATGCCCGACCCCCAGGGGCAGAGCCACGCCCATTTCTAGTATTTGTTTGTTTGTCGTCTACAGGCCACATTTCTTAACTTATAATCTTGCATACACATTCTTTGTACCCTAAGGAACATCCCTATCGTTTGGGGTACATGCCCAACCCCCAGGGGCAGAGCCACGCCCATTTCCCATTTTCTTTTCGTGTGTCTTTGTGTCGCCTACAGGGCGCAATTCTTACTGGATTTTCTTCAAACTTGGTATACTTATTCCTTATACCCCAAGGAAGATCCCTATTGTTTTTGGTGCATGCCCGACCCCCAGGGGCAGAGCCACGCCCATTTCTAGTTTTAAAAAGTACCATATCAATCAAAGCAGGAATGTGGACGTATATTGCAGCGGTAGCGATGCTCTTGTTTTTTTTACTTTCGATGGCCTCTACTGCATGAGGATCTGACCAGTTGTAGTGGGAGGTTGCATCAGGGGTCATATGAGCAGTTTTTGACCTATGACGTCAGACATTTGATTAACCAATCAGCGTTGATGTTTCTAGTGGAATACCCATAGTTCCGTGCATCGCACGCCAAGAACTCGCTGCAACAGACCATTCCATTGATTAATCCCTCACTTCAACCAGAATGCGGGTTATATAACAACTCTTCCAGATCCTGGTGTAGTAAAGACAATTGAAATGAAATGTTGGAACTATAAAAAACGAAACGAAATCGGATCTGTGTTTTAATCAGATTGCGTCTGCTGAGGACGTCATATGTTCAATTCATCATATCTTTTACACCATGAAATTGAACCACTTTTGAACTGATATTCCTTTTAGAGATTCATCTTTCAAAGTAGTGTAGTTTACAATCGATTAAAGAGAGAGATGGGGTTTAACATCCACTTAACACAAACTATGTCATTTGGGACTTACATATGATTCAATTTTATTTCAATAATTCACTTGCGTCTAGAGGACTTTAGCAGTGGGAGGAAACCGGAGGACCAGGAGAAAACCCATGAGGTTCAACAGGCCACGTACAAGCGGAAATCGAAACCACTCCACCTCCACGACAGACCTTATGATACAATGCACACGCGTTAACCACAAATAACAATGAACAGCTTTAAAGTTGGATCACTAAGCTCAGCGTACCATACTGACAGTTCACAAACTATCCCAAAAGGTTGTCAGGGGCAATAACTCCTAACAAATAGTATAATATGTAGATTGGCCTACATCTTGTGTCTTTCTTTAACATTGTACAGGGTATGTCCTTTGGGTTTCACATTTCCCAGCTGGTCGAGTTGTCTGAAGCGTTCGGTTCCAAGATTGCACATGGGTTTTCCCCATATCCCCATATATTGAGACATGACAAATGTATCTGCCATTTTGCAAAATGATCAGCAGTCAATATTCGCTTGGCTACTATCACTGTGAGAGATGACAATGGGCGAGTAAATTAGCTCACAATAATAAACTTTTTTCTTCTGCAAATAAAGTTCTAAAACAATTTTTTGAATTAGTATGAAACCAGATGAGTAAATGGGTACATATAGTATGCGAAGCTGTAAAATAAATGAAAGGCACCAATTCTGTCCAGACAAGTTTATATTATTATGTCCGAAGTAAACAGAATAGAACCACAGTGGCTCAGTAGCTAAGACGTCTCACTAGCCTAGAGGTCCCGGGTTCGATCCCTACGTTGATCGAGAAGTTCATTGTGAATTTTCGGCTGTGATTTCCCCTCAGTGGTGCAGGACAGATTGCTGTGCACTTGAAAGAACCCTTGACAGTTGGGACAGTATAGGTCGTAGCGCCACTGTCCAGGCAAAATTTTCCTCATAGCACACTGTCTTCATTATCCCAGTTGGTGCAGAACAGTAGGACGTTAAACCCCATTTCATTTCTGTTTTCACTTAAATAAAATAACTCAAACAATAAGTAGTAAATAAAAAAAATGTTTTTTGTTTTATCTTGTAATATCTGTACATTATAAACAGAACAAATTCTGCACAAAAAAAAAATAATAATAAATACTGAAAACCTTGATTTCAGTATTCTGAAAACGATTAAAATGATGAGTATTCCACATAAACATACTGGAAGAAAGAGGGGTTTACTTTTTACAGATTTAGTGGAGAATTAATGTTTGAAAAGAACCCCGCTTTCCTGCGTCATGTTTTTGTGGATTAATGTGATGACATCGATGAAGAAAAAACATAAATAAAACATAAATTTATTAATGCGACGATGCAAAATATATTGTATAGGCAGGGTTAAAATGAAAAGCTTACAAAAATGTTTTTTAATGTGTTTAATATGCCGAGAATATTTGAAAGTTAACAATGAAAGCATCATTTTGACACAACAACATTTTACAATTAAATATGGAATGAATGACTTTATAAATAGATTTCTCTGTACAAAATCGTAGCTTAATCACCGCATCATGTGACAGATAAGAGTTCTGATTGGCTGGGAGCATGCTCTATATAACCAGTAAGACTTCTGATTGGCTGAGAGCAAGCTGTGCGTAACCAGTAAAGAGTTCTGATTGGCTGGGAGAATGCTCTATATAACCAGTATACAATCTAATTGTTTTAGTTTCTAAGCACCAATTATCTAAAGACAGGACCCATTTCGGATGAAATAAACAATACATGTTTGTCTTCGTAGAAGACATTTTATTATCAAAGTATTCCAACCATTGATGACAAGACTGATATTGGACAAAAGAAAATAGACACTTTATAGTAGATCATTCACTGTCATTTTTAAACATTTTTTTTTAATTAAAGTATTTCAACAAGACCGATGTTGGACAAAACAAGTGAAAATGAGATTAAATAAACTTCAAGCTTATAATAAATAAATTATACAATTAATCAAAAAAAAATTCTTACTATAAAAATAAATAGGATTATTTTTGTATGAGATAAGAAATGAAATTAAATGAAGTTAGTTATGAAACAGAAAGAATCCATCTCGGCAAATATCAACAGTGGGACTGTCTAGAATACATGTACTATAATATGTACATGTACATCATAGTTATCAGATCGTAAAAAATCTGACGATTCAATTTCTTTAATAGTTTTGTCAAATTCATTTAAATTTTGACGCCTTACAATAAACAAATTTACAAGCTAAGCTCTAAATTTTGTATAATTTAAAACAGAAAGCTGGTCACATCATGGTTATCGGATCGTAAAATCTGACAATCCAATTCTTTTTATTAGATTTCCCACTATTTAGATTTTGAAGCTTTACAATAAACAATTTACAAGCCAAGCTTTAAATTTTATATAATTTATGGAAAGCTAGTCACCTTAATCTAATTTTAAAGCCTAACAAAAGCAAAAAAAAATTTTAACAAGTCAATCCAGAAGCTCTAGTCTAAGATTTTTAATCCTTAATTCAAAAGCATTTGAGTGAGTGAACAATTTAAACTATAATTTGAATTCTTTAGACATTGTAAGGATTTGAATCTCTAATACACAAAATGATGATTTTTGGTATTTAAATATCATTTATTTACATGTATGCCAATCTTTTTTATTTTTTTGCCTTTAATGTACAGAGCACTCTTTATATATAGCACAAGAAACCCTAACGAGTTATCATATAAGAAACCCTAACAAGATACCGTACAAGAAACCCTAACGAGTTATCGTACATTTAAAAGTAAAACAAAATCAGTTCTTGGTAGGGGTAGCTTTGTTTTAGTCGAAAACTTGATTTTAGAATATTTTTCTTATTAAAAGGAGGGCCCTTGTTGTGTTGTCTATCTCACATGAAGAGAGGCTGTAGCCCTCCAAATCTCCGACCCTCACCACTAAAGAAAGATGAGAGTGCGTTTTAAACACAGGCTTATGACAGTGTCAACAATATTATTCACTTTGACGGGAGGGGCCCCCCTCCATTTTGAGGCCCTTGGCTTCAACCTGCCATGCCTATACATGCTGGTAAATAACCGGAGGTCCACCTAGATCTTGAGGGCCTAGGCTTCAACCTGCCACGCTTATAGGTTAATGACTGGAGGCCCAACTACATGTAGATCTTCAGGCCCTCAGTTATTTAATTAGATGCTAGGCTTCAGTCTGCCATGCCTATACTTAAATGACGGAGGCTCTCTTCAATATTGAGGCTCTAGACTTCAGCCTGCCACGTCTATAAGTAAATCTATGACTGTGTATTAGTAAAAGAAGAGTATATGTTTATAGGTAATTAATATAATAATGGTTATTATAATACTGTATAGTAATATTTATACATTCTCTATATCAATATTGACTAACAACTGACCAACAAACAATATTAATATCAGTATCTCTTTTTTTGTGTAAACAATATTTTATTTGAAATGGATCAAAAAAGATCAAGGAACAGGCATAGCCTATATCACCCCTATAAGCGAGCCAATGTCGTATTCACTAAGCCAAAGCGGCTCCCATATTGAAATGTAGTACAATGTCTGCTTTGAAATGTGGTTGTATATTATTGTCACCCCCATCAGTCCAACGAGTAGAGAACAAAACTCCCCACTACATGATATTGTACATTGTACAATGTATGTGTTGTTGTAATTATCAGTTTACGGGGTTGAATATTTTTCACAATAACATTACATGTACGTACAATAGCTTCAACAGCTTTCACCATTAATCACAGAATGATATGTAGTACAATTTCTACCTTGAAGTAGCTTAAATTAACAATATTTATTGGTCAATTGTTAAAATTTCCTGTCATATAAACAGATAAAACTGTGACTTATAGAAATATATGTAATATTGCACACATAAAAACTTAAAATTATTATCATTCTTCTCTTCATTTATTGTAATAAATATCAAATACATGTAATAACGGGGTCTTTATATTCATACTTTCACTTTAAATTGCAATAAAATATCAAATAATACAGTCTTTATTCAAACCTTTACTTAATGTATTAAAATATCAAATAATAATAATAGGGTCTATATTTAGACTTTCACTTTAAACTGTAATAAAATATGAAATAATGGGGTCTTTATTTAGACTTTAATAAAATATGAAATAATAGGGGTTTTATTCAGACCTTAATAAAATATCAAATAATAGGGTTTTTATTTAGATCTTCACTTAAATATAAAATAATTAGGCCTTTATCCAGACCTTTATTTATTGTCATAAAATATCAAATAATAGGAACTTTATACACAAGGTTGAATGTTCATTTTTTTTTCTATACAATATTTTTTTATTTTTAATAATAGAGAGGGAACTTAAATAAACTAAAGTAATTTAGATCATTTACCTAATGCCTTACTTTACAAACAGAACTTCATTATTGATATTCTCACTGAAACAGAATAATAACTCAAGATTCTAATAAACGTATGCCTTACATGTATATTTGGTAAATTTATAAATTCATTGTGTTGTATGTAAATCTACAACGTATAATTTTGTTTTAAAACTGACTACAGTTGGAGAGATACAGGTATATAAGTCTAATGTTAATTACTTTCTCTCTTCAAGCTACTTTCACTTTTTTAACAATTTATTTTGTTTTAAAACTAAATCCTAATTTATTCAACTTAGTTACGAAATATTGAATTTAAAAGTCTAATATATCAGAAACAATAATCTTCGAAAATCAACTAAGACTGCGAAACAAAATTAGGAATTAAGATGCATGCATGGAGAAATATACCATAATAGTTTTTTGTCAATTTGAAACTGCTGAGGGATGATTATTTTCTTAAGACAATTTCCCAATTAGGAAATCAAATAGTCTATCAGTTAAGCATAGATTTCTAATGAGCATTATACACACACACTATTTCAGGAACCATTTTCCCAGCAATTTTTATCATATTAACTACTAATTTAGCTCCCCCGAACAAGCAGGGGAAATAACCCTCAATAACTTCCAGGTCAGTGCATTCAACAAGAGGAGACAGAAGAAAAGAGATATTTGTTGTTTTCTTACATTTGTGTATCTTCTGAATACATGTGTACATAATATCAAAGTTTGATTTAACACACTTCTTTTAGGGAGCGAAGAAAATCAATTATTTTTCTATTGGACTGTACAAAATTCACTTCCGTGCTTGTTTATTTTTTTTTTGTTGTCAAAACGGTACTTTGACCACTGTTGTTCGGAGTCTGAGTGGCTAAATTTAGGTGTAAATGTCTAAACACTATTTAATTATGCTACAACGAGTATCTCAGTCAGAAACCTGGACATAAGGCAACTGTCACAGTACAAATTCTAATTCAACATATATTTGTAAGGGTGAACATCAGGCACCTGTCACAAACGTTCTGTTACTGACTGAGCAAGCCTGGACATCAGGTACCCATCACAAACGTGTGACAATTAGTGTCTGACCAGAGTCTGTGACAAGTGCCTGATGTCCAGGCTTGCTCAGTCAGTAACAGAACAAGTACATTAAATAATGACAGATTAACAAGGCAACGATGATAGTGTCTAGCTTGAGAATAAACAGTTAGGTTGAAAATTTATTTTACTTACGGTTTGATTTAGAGTAAGAGACCAAAGAAATTAAATTGTAATTCACACATGAATTAATGATGTACTGTAACCAGAGCCACAAATAAATGAAAATAATATCATTTATTATCGAAGTTCAGCTAAGATCTGAATATCTATACCCTTTTTTTTAAATTTACACAAAAGTTACACAAAATCTCACAATAGATTTGACTTGTGGTATATAGTTTTTACTGCAGTTGTCTTTAAAGTAAATAATAAGCATGCGTTTTGTTTTTTGGGGTTTTTTCTTTGAGACTGGATACTTCTGTGAATTTTAAGATTCTGTACTATGGATTGCCATTATAGCCAAAACCTGTGATGGTGTTGTACAACATTTTGCCTTTTTGTAAAGCCCATTGTGTCTGAACAGACGATACCTGTTATTAATATGACTTCTCGTAATGTTTTATAATAGCACTTCTTACTCTATGTCAATTTCACAGAATACAGATAAATATTTAGCGCTGTTTTTATTTTTTTTTTCTATTTATATAAGATCTACCGTTTGTGTTTTAAGACTTTATACAAGCTGACAAAAACATTAAGCTATAAATCCATTATCTGACTTTCACTGGCCTGTTAAAAATATTCCATGAAATCTAAATAATTCATCCACCAGTACACACCTGACACACAACCAATAAACACCGGCAAACATTGCATAGAGAGATCAGGAAGCACAGTAGAAATACTCACACAGTCATTGGATAAAAATAATTTAAAAACATGACAATTTATTTATATTATCCTGTCCATTAGCGTCTACACTGGCCGCGAAATTAGGGGATTCCATTGAGCATCTGTTGCCATAGCAACACCATATTATATCCGCTCATATTTAACAAGCGTTCAGATTTAATGAAGTCTCGAGGAATGATGACTAATCAGTTGGTGAATTTCATTGGTTGAAAATCCACAAGTTAATAACGATTGGCTGATTATCACAGCAGGAAATGTCTGCTTTGTCTTGATTGGCTAATATAACTAATTAATTCTGCTTTGATTGGTTTATGCACGTAATGATGTTGTTACTGATTGGCTCTTCTTAATTCATCAGACCAGCTGACTGATTGGCCAAATTTTGTCACATGATTGAATGATAACCAATCGAAGCACACAGTTGGCAGTCTTTGAGCACCTAGTCTTTTCCCCTACAGTTTTCCATTCAGTCGAAAGACATCAAGTTAACTGGAGGCTGAAAAAACAAAATTGAAACATGATCGATAAATATATAAATGAAAATGAAATGACATGGGGTTTAACGTCCTACTGTTCTGGTCCGACTGCGCTAATGAAGATGGGCATACGCCATACAGTGTGCGTAGGAGTCTTTAGCTGTGGGAGGAAACCGGAGGACCCGGAGAAAACACTTGAGGTTGGACAGATGACCCCACTCATGAAAGACCTTATGATGTGTAACACGCACACATTAACCATGCGGCCACCCAATTTCCTAGCTAATGAAGATGCAATTCCAGTAATAAAATAGGACCAGTAAATGCAAATTTGAGACCATTCGGCCACCCAACCCTCTGATGATAAAAAGGTTAGTATCTGGCCCCACATACATGCAGGGAATCGAAAAACAACACTACTTGACTCAATTGCAAACCTTGTGATCTAAAGCGCATATCTTTGACCCTTCGGCCACCTGGTGGTGAAAAGGTTAGCATCTGTATCTGGCCCCACATAATAAAAGCGTAAAGTTTGGACGTTATTTATAATAGATGGGACTATGTTCACCTACCCTTTGATTATAACGTTTCGATGCCTCACTCAAATGTCTGCACCACTGTAAAGCTTGAGATTGACTTCCACCTCGCATTTTATATACATTTCCTGTCAAATAATACAACAATCAACAATCATTGTATATACAATTCCTATGAAATAATATGTCATATTTACAAGATGGAGGCAATGGAGTCCTTAGTCAAGGGACACAGAATGTGTTTAGTATTATGCGCAAGAACATACATAATTTGATAATTATTGGTTGTTTGATGGAATTAAAAAGTGCATTATATTTAATAATATTAGGTCATATAATATATTCTTCGTGTTCTGTAATAAAATAAGTTTGATGTGGATTAACAATAGAAATGACAAGACAGATAAAAAAAAAGGTTTCTATGATCATACCTCGAGCTGGATCTGTAAGTTGGAATGCATCTGGTTGAAGTGGATTATCTCCCATTACTACCATCCAACCAACGATTGAGGTCATCTTACTTGGGTTAGTTTTAAACTACAAATACAAACAATTTATTGGGTAAGTTTTAAACAATAAATACAAATAATTTATTGTAGTTTACTTGGGTTAGTTTTAAACTATAAATACAAATTATTTACTGTAGTTTTACGTACATTTGTTATAAACTATAAACATCCTACTGTTCTATATACTCCGACTGGGCTAATGTGGTAAGAGGGAAATTTTCCCCGAACAGCAGCACTATGGCACGGTCTACTCTTATATTAAATTCCAACTGTCAAGGTATCTTTTACACGCACACCAATTAGTAACATTGAGATCGAACCAAAGACCTTCAGGTTAGCAAGCCAGAGTCTGACTCACTGAGCCACTGCGGCTCCCCTGTTTGGACAAAGAAATACTGTTGTTAAGTTATATATTTTTTAAAAAATGAACTTACATCAGATCGACTGGATCCCCTGAGTGATTTGGCAGGATAATATAATAAATTAGTTCCCCATAATGCTACCCAATATCTCGACCATGACGATACCTGAAAACACAACAAATATAAATAAATCAAATATTATTCTATTGCGCCAAAATTGATGCATCAGACTTAAATAAGTCAAAAGATCTACGAAAGATAATCAGTGGCTTTAAAAATGTTCCAAAATTTTGAATCGCAAGCCAATCAACGAGAATTAACTTACCGTGGGTTTCTTGCCATCTTTGAGCAATGTTTTACGTTTTAAACAACCTTCGCAAGTAAAACTGGCCTGATAAATTGTACCAGGACTTTCATCTGACCCTCGCCATTGAATACTGAAATAATACAAAATAACATTAGTTCATGTGCACAATAAATATATGAGCATAAAAAAAATGTTCAGATTCTTGGATAATCCCACATCACCTAAAATGAGCCGCATGACCTGTTTTTATCTTAAAACATAAAAAAATATAAACAGTCTTATTAATTACCGCATGTAAATGTTTTTCCTGGGTCACAGGAAGTAATTCAGAAATGTATCTAGGTTCAGTTATCCAGTACACAACCCTGATAAATGTTACTGACAATCATAAATGATACTGGATAATCATACATTCAATAATGTGACAATCATAACTCATTGACAAGCATTACCTCACAACCCATGAAGTTCAGAAAGGGATACAGATAAAAGTAATTTGAATGAAAATTTTCAATATATCTATTTTTTAACTATTATAGCAAGAAATGTCCTCTCTTTATCTAAAGCCCACATAATGTATCTTTAAGTTCCCCCACCCCCCACAGTATTATAACATACTGTCTCCAGTTATAATAAGATGGACTATTCCATAACTAGATGGACTAATCTATATCACACTATGGGGATGCTTGATGGTATGTTCTGTAACCTGTATTTAGTGACAAGTAAAATAAGGGATTACAGGCTACAACACATGCACCAACTGAATGAGAAAATATCTCAATCAACCACAACAGTTGAAACATATTCATCATGAATGATGACCAATGACTTTAAGATGGAGTAAAAACTTACTCATTTAATGCTGGCCAGAATGTTTCCTGTTCACTAGATGTAGAATCGTGTTGTTCTCTCGATTCCACTGGAAAAAAAACCCCAAATATACACTTTACATATACTTCAAATACACACCAAAACGTCAAAGAATGACATACTTCCAAAATACACCAAATAAATGAAACGCTTTGGGGTTTTTAACTGTCCTACTGTTCTGCACCAACTGAGCTAATGAAGATAGTCTTATGCCATACAGTGTGCTATGAGGGACTTTTGCATGAACAGCGGTGCTACAGCCTACTCTTTTTTCAAATTCCAACTGTCAAGGGATCTTGTATGTGCATGCCAATGTGTACTCTGGGACCTTAGTTTTTTAATCTTATGGGAATGACTAGATACTGTCCTTGCCAGGCCCCCCTATCCTGCACCACAGACAAGCAGAAACCTTGGTTTTTCTAAATTTATAACAGAATTAAGGTAGAATCAAACCAAAATAAAACAAGCGTTTAATCGGCAGCGCAATTCTTTAAACCATTCACCCCGGGCAAATATTTATTGTTAATAAAACTTACATGACTGAAATTTACTACACACAGATCCATCACTGGATGCACAAGGTGACTCCTCCTCCAAGACACTATCATCCAGTAAATGACGAATACCTTGAACATAAGGAGCTGTGGTTCGCGACGGTAAACTATAACTTTTTTCTACTTGTGGATGAGTACAGCTCATAAAACTAAAAATATAGGAAAAAAACCTCATTTGTAAAACATTTACTTTATGAATAAAGTGTAATTTGATTTCTGAATTGCTTGATTGCTTTTGTCAAAACTTTTTCGTTCAAATTTTCAAATCTTGAAATTATAGAGTGAGAGAAATGGTGCTTAACGTCCATGTCCCAAACTAGGTAATTTCGGGTCTAACATACAGTATAATTTTATCTAAACAATTTGTTTGCACGTAAGGGTCTTTAGCTGTGGGAGGTAACCAACAAGGTTGGATGGGTGGCCCTACTCCTTGTGACAGAGATTCGGCCAACCGAATCTTCAAGAACAGAAACACTGCTGTACGTCTAGTTGTCAGCTCTATTGATTTTTTACTAATTTTCTGTTATACTTTATATTGATCTAAAGCCATCCAATAATTTATCTGAAACGAAAGTCATGAAAGTAAACTGAGCTTACTTGGCTGTCAAACTGCGAGATTTCCGATGCCCCGGAGCATATTTAGATGGTCCGCTGACAGACAAACATCCGGGTCTAGGATCTGTAGCGGGTGACGGAGGTAAAACATGGATCGTGACATCTTCCCGTGACGTAGATACACCTTGACTAGTGGCTGGTTCTAACTTTAACGATAATCTGTAAATAATATAAATAAACTTGAGAGTTATCAACCACCTGGTAAATATTTGTTAATATATACATGTACTGCTTTATTCGAATTAACAATATAGAGAGGTCAATGCCATATTTTCTTCACAAACCCTCTAGGAAATGAAATGGGGTTTAACGTCCTACTGTTTTGCTCCGACAGGACTAATGAAGACTGGCATACACCAATGTGTACACAGGTTTTTTTGTCCCATCCGAACGACTGGACAGCTGTCCTTTTCAGGCTCGCCTGTCCTACACCACTAACAAGGGAAACCATGCCAGAAAATAACGATGAAAACCCTCTAGGTGGAAGTGCCTCTTCCCGCCCCACAAGGTAAGTAAGGCCTTACAACAAAACCATTCTGGTTTCGGACAATCCTTCATTAAAATCTGACAAGGGAGGGAAGTGTTTGTTTTATTGTCAAAAAATCACTAATGGGCTAAATGATTTATCATAAACATCAATTTTCTGGACAGTACATTTATCTCATTGATATCACATTGTTGAATGTATGATTGTCCAGTATTATTTATTATCATCATTAACATTTATCAGGGTTGTGTACTCGATAAATAAGTCTATGGTATGTTTCGGGATTGTGGGTTTTTTTTTTATAACTTACTTGTAATTATCATCTTCAACAAATTTCTGTAGTTCTTCTATATAACGAACAGACTTTAAATAATTCTGTACATGTTCTAAAATACCCAGATTTTCTACAAAAAACACAAACAGAATATAATAATATTTAGACTAGAAACGATCACCAGGATTTTCTACAGTATGCAAGCCTGGACATAATTCCACCTGTTATAGACTTTGTGGGGGGGTTGAATGGCCGAATGGTTAGTGTGTGCGCGTTGTATCACAAGGTCTGTCATTGAGTCAACTGGCATGGTTTTGATTCCACGGTTGTACGTGACAAGGAGTAGGGTCAACTCGTTTTCCTTCCACTACTTAAGACCCATGTGCGCAAGTGAATTATTGAAATAAAATTGAACCAGGTTTGCCCCGAAATGACCCTGTATTTATCGACTCAATTTCCCGCTTTCTCTAATATAAACTCTTGTCATATTTTAAATCACTTACCATACGTAGACTGTTGAAAATCTGCGATAACACGGAGTATATTATTCATCTGTATTCGACGTGAATGACTTTCCATACCTCCGTGATGAGGATGAGCTACGTCTATATAGATCAGATCAGTTAGATATAAACCTGAATAAAACATTTAAATATAGATCAGATCTGGTATTTTAATAAAAGTTTAACAAGCTATCTATATTTACGATTGTGACCAGTGAGTAAGGCACTGGCTCACTAAAGGATCGTGGCAAAATTTCAACACTTGCATCCAAACGAAGAGATCTCAACCCACTCACCCACCAGCCAACAGAGTAAGAAAATACATTTCTGCTCATTATTCTGTCAACATTTATCTTTCAACCCAGTCATCCAGTTCTGTAGATTATTCGTATTGCAGCCAAAAATCATATTGCGATATGACTGATTATGTAAATATACACATTTCACTTTATTTGTTTTTACAACTTTGGTCTTGTCTTTGAAGACTTATTGTTTACTGCAAAGCCTAAAAGATATGACTGATTATGAAGTCTTTATAAACAGTCTAGCTAACTTGCAAGCTTGCAACTACCGTTAATTAAAGAGAGATGGAAATTTACCTAAATAAGGTATGCACGGCAGTTTCACATTCTCCATATAATCTCGTAATTTTTGGCGGTTACTGTTTTCAGAAAATAGATCTGCCATCTTCTCATACGTAGACTTATCTCTTTTAGACAACATCTGAATAAAAAATAAAACCACATGTAATAATTAAACAGAGTAATAATAGATTAACTGCCTAGAACATCCTAGTTTTCAGTAATCAAGTGGCAGTCATGAACAGAAAAAACGAAGGCAAGAAGAGATAGAGAAGAGGGAGAGAGAGAGAGGGAGAAATGGGGGTTTAACATCCACTCGACACAAACTAGGTCATTTTGAAACTTAACATATGGTTCAATTTCATTTCATTTATTTGCTTGTGCGTAGGGGTCTTTGGCAATGGGAGGAAACGGGAGGACCCAGAGAAAACCCAAGTTGGACAGATGACCCTACTGCTCATCACATACAAGTGGTGAATTAAAACCACGCCACTTGACTCAATGACAGACCTTATGATGAAATGCGCATGCGACCACTCAACCCCGCTGAGAGAAGTTTCTAAACCCTTCTTTAATTAGATAAGCTTACTCTTAGGAATTTTATTTCAAGAATCTTCTTCAAACCCTGATCATGGTAACATTATACAAAGTCACGATTTCCATCTTAATTCAAGAAAGAAATTTTACTACACAATCTATTTTAAGATTTGGAAAAATAAAAAGAGTCTTTTTTATTGAGTTGACATATTGAAATGTGTCACAGGTTATTTGTGAGAAGCGATTTCCATATCAATTTTATTATGCAATCTATTCTAAGATTGGAGAAAATAGAGACTGAGCTGACATATTGAAATGCGTTGTAGGTTAATTGTGAGAAGTGAAAATTGATTTTATAATTGACGTCGAGTTACTAAGTCAAGATTCCGATATCTCTCCTGACATTTACACAATCAATAAATCATTACACTGGTCAACCTTGACTACAATCCTATAGTTTCCATTATCAAGTCATTCAATAATCAATTAACTTTTAATTGTTGTCGAATGGCATCAATATCAAATGTTTCAAGACACTTGGTGTATTCAAACTTTCTGTTATATTTCCCGATTTAGTCTTTTTAACTGATTTTGTATTATTTTTTTTCCTCTCTGTTGTAAATTATTGTGGCGAGTTACATGTATTTAATTTATCACACTTTATTTTTTGTATTATATTTTCTATGAAGGGCTATTATAGCCTAATCTTCAACCTTTCTTAAATAGTCATTATCATTATATTCTAGTCTATATTTCTATGAACAGAAGGACTAAAATTACGTCAGAGCTTGTTTATTGGCAGCAAGTTACGACTACTCACAAAAAACGGTGAAAATCACTAAAGTTGAAATTTACCTGTTGCAGGTAACAATGACATTCGGGATCATTTTATATTTAGGGAAAGGATATGTTGACATAATTACTTGAATTATTTTTAAAAAATTATGTAGCTTTTCCGTTGAACTTCCTGCTTTTCTGCACCAATCTCCGAATAATATCATAATAACTAGTTAATCAAGTAATCAAGAATAATTAGACCCAAACGACCAGTCACATGAATCTGTCTACTAGGATAATAACATGCTAGCATATTGATCGTAAAACGTGTTGATCTAGACTTAAGACATGATCAACCAGTCTTACATTATGGATTGTAAAATAATATGCTACAAAGAAATTAATACGTAGAAGTATTCACTTGTTGAGTAAACTTAAAGAGAGAGAGAAAAATGGGGTTTAATGTTCACTCACCGCAAACCTGGTAATTTCGTGACTAACACATGGTACAATCACTGTTTATGAGAAATATATTTGATCCAGAAACACAAAATTTTGCACATATATGTAGTTTCTTATTGATGTATTAGGTATATTAAAACAACAAAAGTTTATAAAGGGCTATATTTTAGTTAAGGCGAGGAATTTTGAGTAAATTTTTAACTTGTGAGGTTATGGGTCTTTAGCAGTATGAGAAAACTGAAGGACATGGAGGAAACCCACAAGGTTAGGCTGGCGAGCTTACTCCGTGTCATGTACAAGTGTGGGATTGAAAACAATCTAATTGACAGACTTTTATGATCATAATAGACCATTCAGCCACCCAACCTCCCAAAAGACATTACAAATAATCAACCAGTCAGGGAGATTATTGATCATAACCTAGTATCACACAGATGTACTCGTATGTATTCCTACGTTGATCAAGACTAAAACTAGAAATGATTGACCAGTCCTATATTAGAGGAATGTAAATTGAATAAATGTGTCTTGTAAATGTCAGGAAGTAATGATTATCCAGTATGCTGTCTGTCAAGATGTCGATTACGTTAGTTGAAATAAAGATTGCTTTTATCTGAAGTAAACACAAGTAAAATGGTCCTCTCCATGTGTACGTGACATGGTGTATTATTTCGTTGATTTGAATAACTTCCTGTTCATGTTAAAGTTATTTTTTACAGAGTCTCCCTCTTTTTTTTGAAACAAAAGGTTTTACATGTATTGTTCACATTTTGCCTGATGCACATTCTTTAGACTTTTTTTTTTTGAAATTTAATTATCTTTTTAATGTTCTATTTTGCTGCAATGACTGGGTTAATGAAGACAGATAAATGTAGAACTGTTCATGACTTTTTATGGATTAACCGATTCCGATATCTAACATCAACGATGATCACCTTACAAATAGAAATATCATGGACATCTTTTTACACGGCTAAATTACATCTTGGTCACGTGATTTATGGCTTTATTGATTAGATGAATGAAAGGTCACGGATTGGCAGAGGAAATTGGAGAGTTTGTTGACGGAATCAAATTACTATTCCCTTTTTCATTTTAGAATGGAAAAAAGGATAAATGATTTTTTTTTGTTTTCACATTAGCAAGCTGACTAATTATTTTCTCATCTAAAAACATTGTTTGGTCTATAATAAATGTGGCTGACTATTTTTAGATTTTGTAATGTCACCTAAAGCCCAATCATACATGAACAAAGGTTAAATATATTGCTACACAATCAAAATTACTTTGGACACTTTCGGCTGGGCCCCGCATCCATTCACTGAAATTGGTATTTGTTGCTTATTCCTTGCAAAGTCTGTGTAGTTTGCCTGTTCTGCAGGTTGTGATATAGTTTTTTTGTGTGTAGTGTTGTTCTCATGCACATATTTCTTTCAATAAATAGTCTTTGAGGGATTGTCAACTACAATATTGAGAAGGACAGACGGCCAGAAAGACGGATGGAGCCAGATTTCAATATCCCACTTTCAGCAAAGGATAATAAAAATAAATATAAAAGTATCTTACCATCCACGTTTTAGAGAGTCTAAAAATAGCAGCACTTTGTAACGCAGATATAACAGCCATTACAGCATGTAAATTATTCAAATCTAACAGTTTTTTGGCAATTTTTATAAAATGGGATAATACTTCAGCGCGCGTTTTTAAAGTCTGACAATTTAATATTTCCTTCTGTACCCAAAAATTTACCTGAAAAATAGAAAATATAGCCAGTCAGTCAAATATTGATTATCAACATTCAAGAATTGTTGGGTAAGTGTGGTTGTACATTAAAGCGAAATGCAAGAGAGAGGGAGAGAAATGGGGCTTAACGTCCATTTGACAAACACTATGGTTCAAATTTATTTCAATAATTCTCTTGTGCGTAGGGGTCAATATATAGCTGTGGTAGGAAACCGGAGGACCCATAAAAATCCATGGAGGCTGGACAGGCAACTATATTCCTTGTAATATACAAGCCAGAAATCGAAACCCTGCCACTCAACTCTATGACACCAGGGCTTACTCTTATATCAATTCCACCTGAAAAGGAATATTTTATGCGCAAGCCATGGGGTACATGGGTCACGAGACCTCGGTTTTTCGAACCATCCAAACAACTAGACAGCTGTCCTTGTAAGGCCCTCAGCCCTGCACCACTGACAAGGAGAAACTACTCCCAAAAATCCCAATGATGTATGAGGAAAACCTTTTGGAATTTTTTAAATGAATTAGGTCACATTACTATATTGTGAATGTATGTAATAAAAGGTATGGCAATTTTGAAACAAACACAGTAAAATAAAAAGACAACTTACATGATTAAATCTGCGAGTGAAGGCAACAACATACGGTGCACGGATTAATTTAGTTTTTGTTGTCCAGGCACATGATGTCAATTCCTGAAAGAAATAAGCATCATAGTCATAATTTCATGGACGACTAGAGCGTCCACACAATTTTTCAAGGTAATCAAAGGCCAGAAATCTGACAGTAATTACTGGAAATCACTGAATACAATCAACTTCTTCAAAACTCTGGCAGTAATTACTAGAAATCACTGAAAATCAATAGACTTCTTCAGAACTCTGGCAGTAATTATAGGAAATCGCTGAAAATCAATAGACTTCTTTGTCTCATGGCCATAAATGCTGTGTATCAATCAGATGGTAACCTTTGCCTCTAGCTGAGCATCCACAAGCAATTGCGGACGTCGGACTGAAGGGCATTCCAATCGGGGTGACAACTATATTACTAAATATTCAATTAAATCAAAATGATCCAGACCATTTTCTTGACCATTTTACCCACTTATATCTAATTTTTCTCTGTGTGTTATAAAATAGAATGAACTTACATCTGGTTGAATTGATTGAAATACTGGTAAATCCATTAACGTTATCTGACTCTGTAATAATATAAAATAAACAAATAACAGACAGTGTAAAGGCAATTAATACATTTAATATAAGGATGCCTCATTTGCTCTAATATCAAATTTCTCATGGTTTAACCATCCCCAATACATTTAAATGTATGCACTCAGATTGATTGTTTAACATTTAATTAAGAAAACAAAATCAAAGTACCAACGCTTGATAATGTCCTGGCTTGGATTCAGTCAGAATTAAAATAGGCCTATCAATGCTGTAGGTACGCTTATTACATAGCGAGCAGCATAGTGCGATGAAATTTCAATTTAAGTATCTTTGTAACTACTGAACGGAATTGAGCCATATTTGTACCGATATTCATAATATTAAAATAATAGAGATTCATCTTTCACTATATTGTTGTTTGCAAGGGATTTCTATTGTGCTAAACTGACACAATGAGACTTTAAGTAACGAAGTAACAATTTAATAAAATTATACAAACACAATACCACCATAAATAATCTCCTCTATTAAACAACAAAAAGATATCCTCAAGGCTGACAAAACAACTATCAATAAATAGCGGTAATTGAGTGATAAATAAACATCTGATCTGACATGAACACTCCATTGATATTTTAAAGATTTGCAGATTTATGGAGAAAAGTTTGTGAGAGAGAGAGAGAGAGAGAGAGAGAGAGAGAGAGATTAATGTACATTCCCAGACTAATAACCTGCTAGTATAGGTATTATCTCACACCTAGAAATAATTTGATTTACATGTAATAATGGATGTTGAATCCTACATGTACATGATCAAGATTCTCCCTAAAACAATCGAAAAAATAGTGGTCTATTTCACATCAAATAATTTTACAACTACATGTAGTACTAGTAGTCCGAACAGGAAATGTATGGACCTCAAGTTTGATGAAGTGACCAAAGTGACTGATTTTGATCCCGGTGTTGGTTGAGAAAGTTCATCAGGACAGTGGTGCAGGACAGAGGGCCTGGCAAGGGACAATGTATAGTCGTTTGGATGGGACAAAAAAGGTCTTGAGTACACATTACCGTGCACAAATAAAATCCCTTGACAGATGGAATACAGTATAAAATTATGCCGTAGCACCAATGTCTGAGCAGAATTTCCCTATATAGCACATTGTATGGCATATGCCTGTTTTCATTAGCCAAATCAGAGTAGACCAGTAGGACATTAGTAAACATCATTTCATTTCATTTATAGAAATGGAGAAATTCCTGCCAACCTGAAAATAAGAGTTAGGTTGTACTGACATCCTGCCACATTTTCTAGGTTAATAAAATATACAGTAGAGCTAGCTAGGCTCAGTAGGGTAAACAATGTTATAGAGTTGTGTAGTAAATACTTCACACCTACGTCTTTCAACTTTCACCTTCATTCATCAAAAACATGGTCACACTCACAATGATAGATTGCACATGTTCACCTAACAATCTGTCACAGCTAGTTTTCTCTAATTATACTTAATGGTGGTTTAACTAATCCTTTATATATAACCCTTTAGATATCAAAGTCAAGTCTTTTGTTCCACTAAAACGTAAACAAGCTGTTGCCTTTTTTAAAGCCATCATGCACCTTCATCTCGATCCAGGAGTATATTTTGTGTCACACCTTATTGCTAATATTGCTTCCAATGATCTGATTTTATAATTCTGTATACTACTTACAATGGAGCCCTGGCTATAAAAACTTTAAATCTTGTACCCAAAGTAATGTTTTAATGAATGGAATTAAATAGAAAATAAATCTCTCTATAAATCCCTTACATCATGCACCATTCACAAGCCTGGAAATTAAGCACCTGTCACAGAAAATATTGGTCACAAATTTTTTTTTTCCCCCTGTTTTTATTGCAACAATTACAAGAAGAAACTAGGTTGGAAAATACCAATAGTATTCAGACCAACTCTGGGATCAAACCTTGGACTATCAGGTAAGTAAGTCAGCTATCATGGCTCAATCCCTGTTCAAATGAAATGAGGTTTAATGTCCTAATGTTCGGCTCCGACTGGGCTAATGAAGTCGGGCATATGCCATACACTGTGCTAGGAGAGAAATTTTGACTGGACAGCAGCGCAACAGCCTAATTCCAACTGCCAAGGGATCTTTTAAATTTACGCCAATGTGTACATGGAACCTCTCTTTTTCAACCCATCCAAACAACTAGAAAGCTGTCATTGTTAGACCCCCCATCCTGCACCACTGACAAGTGGAAACCACACCGCAAAATCCCGATGAACACCAAGAGCAAACACGCGACCTCCAGGATAGCAAGCCAACGTCTTACTCACTTGGCCACCGCTGCTCTGGTTCAAAATAAAGGTGACAGAGTGATGGAGTATCAGTGTAACTTGAAATGTCTGATATATGTGAAAACTCGTTATTAAATGTAGGCTTGGTTAATGGTTGGTGTTCATGTATCAAACAGTTTACTGCTGTATATTGAAGTACATTTATCTCACATTCATGTTTTCAGGTACGTTTCATAATTAAAACAAACTTCAGTTAATTTGGTACAGGTGTGTAGAATATCACACCTGATATTTCACTAGTAGTACATGTAGGTATTAAAATGTGATTAAATTAAAGAGAAACTGAATGAACAACAGTGACACAAACTAGGTCCTTTTGGGACTAACATATGGTTTAATGTTATTTCATCAATTTGCTTGCGCATAGATGTCTTTAACACTAGTGGGAGGAAACTGGAGAGTGAATCAGGGTTATCGTCCACTTCATACAAACTATGGTGTTTTCTGTACAAGTGTGGTATTGAAACCATGATACTTAACTCAATGACAGATCTTATAATCTAAAGCGCACACGATCACTCGACTATAAATTATTGGCCAATGAAAAGACTGTATTTTAAAATATTTCAGTCCAACGTTTCGTGAATGTTCTTTAAACATCATTGATGATAATAATGTAGACCTTAACCTGACCAGGATAGGGATGTTTTCAACACACACTACAATATAACTATCAGGCAATTGGGTCAAAATAAATATGTAGGAAATGTTTATTTAAAGCTACAAGAACAAAAATGTTTTATTGGCTGTGTACCACATACATGTAACCTAGAACATACTCTTGTTGTACGAAGGAAAAGAAATGAAATGAAATGTTTACATTTATGCTCCCACCGGGCTACCAAAGATGGGCATATGCCCTGCAGTGTGCTACGAGGGAAATATTGCCTGCAGCGCTATACAGCCTACTCTTTTTTCAAATTCCAACTGTCAAAGGCTATGTAAGCCAAGGTGTAAACAAGACTGTTGTTTTTTCATAAATCCGAAAGACTTGCCGCTGCTCTTTTCCGGCCACTCCCTATCCATTCCAGTTCTTCAGTCATTTGAGATGTTCACACACGATACAATTTCTTGTTGTATTAATAAATCATGGTAGGATGTGCTCTAACACGGGATATCAAATCAATATTTCACAACTTTTCCAAAATCATAGCCTACATGCTTACTATTTGTAGAATATCTGATATCATACCATGGGAGATATTTCTTAACTCTCCAAGACTTGAGTTTTTCAATGGCAGCCTCCATGTTAATATTCCAGAATACCTGATATCACTTTGCTGTATTCTAATTAATTCTATGACTTTATGTATTTCTCAAATCTCCACTACTTGAATGAATTTTTCAATGTAGGCCTACATGCACCTATGTTAGCATTGTATTTAATCAACAGGTGTGTTTGTATACCTTTCATTTATCTTAAACATCTTTTGTTAAACTCAACATTTATTTTTGTATAAAGCAAATTGCAGTCTGTCATAGGATTCCATGTCATGTCGCTCTGGTTTGTGTTCGTGAATAGATTTATCAAACTTTGCTTTAACCGCTATCGCTAACATACTTTGTATTTCATGTACACTGGGAGCTCATGTGGGGGTGTGGGGGGTCAACATGCCCCCAACAACAGTCTTATATATATAGTGATATAGTTTTCAGGACATTATAAAGTTTTATTTTGACTGACATTATCACTTAAACATGCATTATGCAAGAGCTAAATATGATTATTGCAAGTCTTAATTTAGGCTTCAGATGTTATAGAAATTATAAATTAGATCTTTATTTAAACAACAAGACCAAAATCAACTCTGTAGACCCACGGATGGCTTGGCTACAGCTCGGATATAAATAGGATTTCACTAATTGATTAAATCAGATAAGGGGTAACCTGATAAAAATACGTCTGTTAGATCGAGGCTAAATGATAGAGTGTACATAGCGAGGCCGCTGTAAAGTGTTTCCGTATGCCATTGAAAACTTTACTTGATAATCGAGATATGTAGGTGGAGTTAACGCCTGTCAATCAAACGATCAGCGAAGGTGAAGACACAATTCGCTACCATTTCTAGGCAAATATTACAACGATGATAACTATGTTCAGAATAAAGTAATTTGACTGAATTTTTTGAATATATTCTTCTTTCATCATCTACTTTTGAACTGTTATAGCAAGAATGGCCAACTCTCTATAAAAATCTCCCATAATGTATCTTTAACATTCACAACAAGGAGACTTTCTTTTTATTTTGATTAAGAACCATCCCAATTTTTTCAAGCAATTTGTTGACAATTTGTACATAATTTGTGTAAGTGCAGGAGGACTCCACCACATATAAATAATTACACAAGACAAACCCATAGACAAGACACACAATATACACACATTTCAAACGTATATATCTAAACAAGTAAATGGAGCCAGCTGTAAGCATCCACTGCGCTGTAGAGTTCCGGCCTGTAGTGATGCAGGCTTCACTCAATGAAAAACAAACTACCAAGGACCAATGAAGTTTTTGATCAGGCAATAATATGGGCTAAGATGCAATTTAAATAAAAAATACTTACAGCAAAATCATCTGGAGAGACACGGAGTACGTCAAACACAACAGCATCATAGCTCTTCATACGAGGAAGACTAGATCGCTTCTCTAACGATTCTTCACTCCCGTGACTTAAACTTAAACCCTGAAAAATACATAAAAAATGATATAAATTAATATACATTGCCATAAGTTATCAGCAAGCCTGTAAATAAAGCATCTGTCACAGACTTGCCACATACTAAACTTACACTATATGTCTACATACAACTAGCGCCCCCTTGAGAACAGACACTAAGCTTGTTGACCAACATTTTAATTCATAAATTGAAGATCAGTATACTACACAAATTTTGAGAAGTGTTTGTTTCATTTCCATTTAATAAAAAAGAAAAGGTTAATTTAGTCTTTGGCCTTGGGTGTATGACAGACTTGAGACAGACTGGAACCGTATTACAAAATATTACACTAATTTTTAGATACATGTATGGTGGCCATTCAGGGCAGAGATCTATTCTCCTAGTAGATAGTTTTCTGTGTGCAGAATGACATTGTCAGACACAATCCGGGTTATTCATCTGGAAGCAAGTGTTGATATTTTTTGACATATATCATAGAAAGAGAAATGGAGTTTAACTCCACTAGATAAACATATAAACTTTATATTAAGACCCATGAGGTTGGGCAGGCGAAGCATCTTCTTGTGATACAATACAAACATGGGATGGAAACTTGACTTGATGACAAATCGTTTGATATAAAGCACAAGAATTAGACCTTTAGGTTTTAGATCACGCAAGACCCCAATTACATATCATAAAACCTTCATACTGGATTGTAAGAAAATCATTTCAGCCTTTCTTTCATATTCCAAACCCAATTTTCCATCATTACAGTCCCATTGAATTTTTGAAATTGTCGTTAAAATTAATTGTGGCACTAGTTAATTCAATGATTTCAAGGTTTGTGAAGTGACACCTAAAAAACCTTAAAATCGCACTTAATAAATTTGAGCAAACTTAAAAACTCAGTTTCAACTTTGGTACTATTGGGAGGAAGCCACTTCAAATTGTGAAGATTTTATTTACTTTCTACAAACAAGACTATTATAATAATACACAAGGGAATGGGATGGTTCTTTTATATCGGGTGGCCCAGAAAAAATGAGTACACATGATTTGACTTCTTTTTTTTTTTTTAATGATTCCACTTTCAATTGTGTACTCGTTTTTTCTGGGCCACCCGATATATGACATTTTTTTATAAAGATTTTGTCCAGAGCTGAAAACATCTGCTCGATCAAACAAGTATTACAGTACTATCGGGTACATTTACTATTTCAATTACACTTCAAACACTATTTCATGTCTTAGCCTCTTTTTCAGGTAACATTCAAATTTTAAATTTGACTGTTAAAAAAGTTTAATAATCTGTAATTAAAATTATAATTCATCATAAGCAAGATACTAAAACATTAAATATTAATTACTAATTAAAAAATTATATTACAATCTCTTAATTTCCACAAGATGAACCAAGCAGACAAAACAACTAAACACATCTGTATAAGATGCATTAAGAGCTAAGTCTGCTTATTGCAGGTCTTTATTTTAGCTTCAAATTATCAATTAGACATTTATTCACATGACAAGTCCATATTCAACTCTCTAGATCACCTAGTGGTTGAGATTTTTAATGGATTGAAACACTATAGCAAATATTATAATTTAATTTAGACTTTGTTTATATAATTATAGTAACAATATATGTAGTAGAAATCAAAATCAAGACCACACTATTCTTGTCAAGACTTCCAATAAAGTAATTTGAATGAAATTTTCAATATATTTTTTCATTATCTATCTTTGAACTATTATAGCAAGAATTGTCAGCTCTATCTAAATCTTACAAAATGCATCTTTAAATCCTTTGTCACTTTTTGTAGCTAATAGTTTTATTCACTCAGACATTTTGTTTTGTCTGTGCTGTGTTCATGTAGTGTTTCCTCATTCTTTTTTATTCATTTTCTCTTTTGCTTTTAAAGCAGCAGTTTAAAGGCTACAAGGTCTATCAAATCCATTAAATTGATTTCTGGAATTAATTTACGGAACACTAAAAGATGCAATCAATCGCTAGACTTACAACAACTTGTACCATTTAATGACAGTAATATGTTTGACAGCAATGGTCAATAGAATCTGATTTTGTGAACACAATGTAGTGAAAGTAGATAACTTTGTCAAGGAGACATAGAGGAGTTGTTAAAATGTAGAACGCTGTGATTTATAATCAAGAGACACAGATGTATAAATGAGATCTAAAATTTTGTTGAAAGATTGAAAGTAGATGTTGAATTGAATGACAAATTGAGTATTGAAGTTAACAAGATTTTTAAGTGAATTAAATGTACTATGTGTATGAGGGGTTGTTAAAACGGGAATGCTATGTGATTCATAATTAAGGGACACAGATCTAAAATTCTGTTGAAAGATTAAAAGTGGATGTTGAATTGAATGACAAATTGAGAAATGAAGTTAACAAAATTTTTAAGTGAATTAAATGTACTATGCGTATTTATTTGAGTGCATACTTTAGTTATTTTCTAACTCAATCAATTGAATTCTCGAGGCTAAGGGTACATCTTTAGAATGGTATTCTTACACCATGTTTCTAGCACTAATTGTCGCTAGTGTTCTCTCCCCTTATCTTCTTGTATAGACAGATTGTCCAGTACAGGTCTACAGGGAGCAAAGTAGGACAAATTTCCCAGGGCCCCCATATTTTTGGTTGAGTACAAGATCAAAAGTTCCATCAGATATCGAGAGATTCTAGTTTATATCTTAAAATATGCTGATCATTATCTGAGCTCTCATTCTGTCCACAATCAGGTGCATCCTTTTCTCCATTTGTACATTTGTGCAGAGTTTAATATTCAAATCCAATCATATTTCATTTGTCCATCTGCTTGGTCGTTCTTCAGACTACTTGTATATGAGATTCATATTATAGAAAATGTCAGCCATTATAAATCAAATCAAAAGGTGATTTGTTTAATCTTCCTTATCTCAATGACAGGGAAACCAATAAATAAATGAAAATCAATCAGGGAATGGAACTATCACATAATCATAAACCTAGTATTTGGTATATTATAACTCTATAATGACCGGAATGCTTTCGATTTGATCAGGCCAATTAAAACATTCTTCTTCTTTCTAGGGATCAATCAATAACATTTTTAGTTCATCAATAAATATAACCCACTCAAAATTCCAAAACTTATCTATCCCAAACAAAAAGCTTTTGAGAAGATCCACTAAGTACATTTTGTTTTTAAATTAATTTTTTTCTTAAAGAAAATGGGAGGCAGAATTTTCAATAGGTGTGGCCTAACCATCTATACAGATCAGTAATTCTTGAATATTTTGCTTTGAATGAAGTCAGTGAAGCAAAAGTCATACTCATTAACCTCTTTCTTTAATATTATATCTATGCACAGGTTTATCGATACAACAGTGAGTCCTGGTGTTGGTCGAGAAAGTTCATTGGGATTTTCCGAAGTGGTTCCCACATGTCAGTGCCAGTGGTGCAGGACAGAGGGCCTAGCAAGCCACAATGTATAGTCGTTCGGGTGGGAAGAAAAAACAAGATCCTGTGTGCACATTGGCATGCACGTAACAGATCTATAGTCATAAGTAGCTGGAATTCGATATAAGAGTAGACGATAGAGCCGCTGTCTTGGCAAAATTTCCCTCATACATGTAGCACAACGTATGGCTGGGCAGAACAGTAGGACATTAAACCCCATTATATTTCATCAAATTGTTCCAGTTAGGATATATTTTTGGTTTAAAATGTGTGTTGGTTTTGGTATGTTAATCTAATAAGTTTATATAATAAAAACAGACACAAACATCTAGATTAACTAATGTAAACAGTATGATTAATCCATGGGTCAAAAGGTCATTTACTAACATTCCATACATGCTATTGTTACATATTATAAGCACATACCTAATTCTATCTAATGGAGTAACATTACCCCCCCTCTCTCTCCCTGTCTTATATATTGGCAGAAAATTATGTTTACATTTCGTCATTATAAATAACTATCTCAAAAGTTACATGAGAGGACAGGACAAAGTTAACTACTTTTTAATAATTGGTAGACTGAAAAATATTCAAAATCGGTAAATTCTTATATGGCCATTTAAAATTTACCTATAATCATGATATTACAAACATACCAAATTTCTTACAAAACTATTCTCAAAAGTTGCATGACAGCTACAACAAAGGCTAAAATACTGAGTTACTTTATTTAAATTGGTATCTAATTTAATTTGATTTATGGTCATTTAAAATTTACGGGATATCAAAAGTTACATGACAATGGGTAATTATTTGAAGTCCCAATAGGCCAGGACAAACGTTAATTATAGAGTTAAAGACTACACACAATCAAAAGTACCTATTTATAACTCCTTATACCCCTGTACATGACAAGGAATAAGGTCGCCTGTCCAACCTCAATAAAACAATATTTTATTTAGTATGAAAAATATCAATTTTAACTTCAGTTATGGCCATTGAAAGGTACCATTTCATTTCAATAATTTGCTTGTATGTAGGGGTCTTTAGCAGCGGGAGGAAACCAGAATATTCAAGAGAAAACCTACAAGGTTATAGACAGTACATCCTCATCCTTATGTACAAGCTTTGGATCGAAACCACGCCCCTAGACTCAATGATAGATCATTCAGACCCCTATATATTGGGTGAAAGGCCACCTCGATGGAAGCGGTAAAGCTATTTCACACACATTTACTATACCGGTTAACTCTAATGTACAATGTATAATCAAGGCATTATATGAAAAAGGTCTATTAACGAAAGAGCTGAACTAGTCTTCCATTCAGTCTATAATCACCTATACTAGCAAGTATAACAATAGAGATATATTTGTTGTCCAGTCTTTTTTGTTACAATAAGAGCAAATGTAATCAAGTGTAGGTCTATTTTCCACCATCCCAACATTTATTACGTCTTGTCCCTTTTTATCGTATTGACCTGTTTATTTTACATTGACATATTTTTTAAAAAACATAATAAGCTTATCTGTGCGTAGGAGGAAACAGCATGGTA